GGTATATGTTACTATAATAAAATACCAAAAGAAATAATTAATTTACCTTTTAATAAGTTTAAAGTGTGTATAAAAACATGTCTCCTTAAGAAAGGTTACTATACTGTAAAAGATTTCATAAATGATAAGTCACCTTGGGCTTAACATAATAGACTGTCGTTTTACTTTGCTAATTTGGTTGAAAATTGTTTAATCGCCACTTCTAAATTTAAAAATAGTACCTAGTTATACTTAACTTTTGTTAATTAATAATATATATGTGATGGAAGTTGACATCAACACATGTATTCAATTTTTGATGTCATCTTTCAATTGACGACACTGTATGAAACAAAACAGGTAAGCCCTTGCTGAGTTTCTTGCCGGTTCTTCTCAGTACAAGGTCTCCCGCCGTAGATTTACGAACCGATGGCGTAGCGTTTGACTTTCACAAGAGCTTGTAACAGCCTAGACTGAATAAATGAGTTTGAATTTGAATTTGACATTTGTTGTAGGTTTTACGTTTCGCAGGAGCGAGCGAGACGCCATTCGCCGACATATTTATTAGAACGTTTAAATTCAATTTAGTATATTTTATTTTTTGTTATTGTCTTTTTTTTATTGTGCTATGGATTGTTTAAAGTAGATTTATATCAAGATCTTTTTGCCTGAAACACAGGATAATCCTAGTTCAGGCTTTGTAGTTTTTTTCTCATTTTGTATTTTTTAAGATTTAAGTCATTTACATGTAATAACTAGCGGCCCGCCCTCGCTTCGTTTCGGTGTAGAGCTGAAGTGTAGACTACAGTTTTTGTTCTCAGGCTTGTATTATACACAATGACATTCATCTATGATTCATCTTATACCTGCATGCAAAGTCTCAGCCCGATCGGTTTAAAATTAACAAGTTTCATACAAACTTTTATTCCCTACTTTATCCACTTGAGGGTAGAATTGATCAAAATCCTTTCTTAGCGGATGCCTACGTCATAACATCTACCTGCATGCCAAATTTCAGCCCGATCCGTCCAGTGGTTTGGGCTGTGCGTTGATAGATCATGTCAGTCAGTCACCTTTGAGTTTTATATATATAGATTGATATTGAATAAAGATTTATTTATTTATTCCTACTCATTATTGACATCGATAATTCTAATTGGGTCACATCACTAGCGCATTCCTAAGCTCTGCATTCAACTCGCGCGCTCACTGTAAATAGTACTTCTTAATTAATGAATGGTGGCACCATTATTAGGGTATTATAGAGGGTAGTTCAAGTTTATTCGCTATCTCAGGCAGCTTTAATCATGTCTTCTATCTCGGCGAGGTCGCCATTCGCACTCCTTATTTTGTTCGCTTGTATTATGGCGCTGTTGGACAAAGATTCGAGGCTATTGCTTCAGTGTTTCCACGCGATTGGCGACACGTTTCTTCTCACCTAGTAGCAGTTCTAATGCCCTATTACCTGCACAGAAAATGATAAATAACTTAGAGTTGTACCGACTTAAATATATAAATAATATGTATATTTATATATATATATATTGTATGTATACACTCGTTTTACATCTGAAATCTCTATAGAGCAACACGCCCTTTGCTAAATTATCTTATAAAGTTTTAAAAGGCGTCGTCATTATTGTAGCACGTTTTATTTCATAATGATTTTCCTGTCTTATCAAAATAGGAACATTTATTTAGAACGACCGCACATGACGTACATACATACGTAATGTAATAAGCATCAGTCATTCACAGGCACAGAAATCTCGTGTTTTCAATAGAGTTTACATGAAATATTTTATTTATCAGAAGTACTTACATAGAACATAAACACGGATGAAAAATATTTGGTTTACAAGCACTTGTCGTTAACACTGATGCGCAAGTTCTTTCGCCTGTGTTAAAAAACCATTGGACAGCCCTTTTTTATTTTAGTATTTAGCCCTTTATTTTAGTACCATAGCTACCCAAAGCTTTTTAACAAAGGTGTGGGATAAGTAGGTAGGTAATGTAGGTCGCTGGCTGTGCGAATATGCTGGCCCGACGATTTGCACGGTGTACAGATGCAGTAAAGGTCACTCTTTTTAAGACTTACTGCCAATCATTCTATACTTGCATTCTTTGGACCAACTATATGCAGCGGGCATACAGCGACCTGCGTATTCATTATAACAACGCCTTCAGGATACTGTTGAGACTGGCGCGGAGTTGCAGCGCGTCAAAAATGTTTGCAGAGGCGCATACGGACGACTTTTATGACATTATTAGAAAGAGGTCCGCTTCCATGCTCACTAGGCTCCGCTCTAGTATCAACAGCCTCCTGAGAGTATTTAATGACCGGTGGGACACTCCTCTGCTACGACACTGGGTGAAGCTCCATATCCAAAAGTAATATTTTATGTAATTCTTTATTATACTAACACTAGCAAACCAGTGAACCAAATGTTCACCAAAACCTGATTTCTCGAAAACCGGAAGTGCTACGTAACTCAAATCCGGTTTGTAGTCTTATCAGACTATTCTTAACTTATAACTTAAATATTCTCTTTATCTATCTCTTACGGTTTGGCCGCTGAAACAGCACCACAGACAGACGGACTTGTCTAATAGATAAGAGACTAGCAACCCAGTGAACCAAATGTTCAACAAAACGTGATTTAAAAAAAAATTAAAAAATGTATTTAATTAATTGAGAACTTCGAAGATTTTGTGTAGTTTTGTTTGAAATTCGTGATTTCTCGAAAACCGGAAGTGCTACGTTACTCAAATCCGGTTTGCAGTCTTATCAGACTATTCTTAACTTATAACTTAAACATTCTCTTTATCTATCTCTTACGGTTTGGCCGCTGAAACAGCACCACAGACAGACGGACGGACGGACTTGTCTAATAGATAAGAGATATTTATAAGTAAATCAAATGTAACTAACACTATGGAACCTAGTTCTGAAATAAAAAATTTGAATGAATAAGCATCAGAGAATTTTTTGATATGATGCTCTGCTCACAGTTGCTTACTTCGGTTGGACGACGTAGCGATCTTATGGACGCCTAGCGTCTCCTCGACACCATTATATTTTGACCGGGTGCTTAATAGAGACTGCTAGGCTAGGACTTAGTAAGTAATCTTTTCGCTAAGTTTATGATGGCACACAACCGCTACAAGGGCTAGAGATGCCTCTGATAGCACGGTAGCAGCGACTCCATTGGTAATTATATTTACTTACGTAGCGTACGCAGGCCTCAAAGGCACGTCCTACGTGACGCATAACGGTGCGTCAGGGTTGGTTAGGTAATAAACTTCTTGAGACGTTTTTTCCTAGACTGCATGGGGCTCTTCTATGGGAAGTTTTACAGGATATAAATTAATATGTGGGCGCTTAATTTGGCCAGGTTTAATACTTCGCCGCAGTCGGGTAAAAATTTACACAAGCAAACACGCAAGGCCATGGTCATATACAGTGTTGCCAACTTGGATTTTGAAAAAGTCGTAGGCCCGATGACAAAATTACGTAGAATTGGTAAATTTTGCATATGAAAAGTACGTAGATCTACGTACTTTTTTCTGAGTGAAATGAAGAAGCTAGGTGAAATTGAATAAAACGAGTATTTTGTTATACAATTTCTTTAAAAACGGGACATAGAACAAAGAGTTCTTGGAGAAGTCGCTCCAAGAACTCCTTTTCATTCTGTATAGAGAATGACAAGGATACACTGTTGTTAAATAGGCTATTTGTCACTTTTTGGAATTATGTTTTAAATTGTTAATAATTGTTCTATCAGACCGAAAAAAAATGTTTTTTTTTTACCTAGAAGACATACAAAAACGTTTTTTATCTATAGACTTATCTATGCTATGACGTCAAAAAATTTGTAAACAAACACTCGCAAGCACGTAGGAAATAATTTTTCTGAGTTAATATTATAAAACCATGATTTCTAATAGATCACATGAAAAATATAGTAGTTATCATCATACACTTGGTAAAAGACTCTAGAAAAGTTGTGGTTTAAATTGCCAAGAGAAATAAACCTACTTACACATGAACACATGTTTAAATCTTGCTAAATCCTGTAACTTCATCGACTGAAAGTCATTTTGTAAGTACTCATTGAATAATATTTAAAATTTAAAAATACAATTTTTAAAGTAATGAATGTACCTACTAAGTCAAAGAGTTTTGTCGTTTCTGCTTTCACAAATCCTGCGTCCAGCATTAATTTAGTCAACAAAACCAATAACGGGAACCTATTCTACAAGATACAAGAGTTTTTAGATACATCTTTATAAACAATAAACATTTGTATAGTTTTTAAGTAAAGTAACAGAAAATATTCTTCTTTATTCTAGTGAATTAAGTTATTATACAAATTTGAAAAAAATGAAGAAAGTACGTAGATTTTGGGACTGAAGTTAGTAGGTTTGCAGAAAAGGCCTAAAATACGTAGATCTACGTAAAAAGACGTAGAGTTGGCAACACTGGTCATATACTCTGTGGGTGCGCCCCCAGTTGTATCGATTATGCTAAGCCTGTAGAACTCAAACATGTTGCGTTTTAGTAGCCTCAAATTATTGTATTTGATAAAGACAATCAGTTTTTACTTTAAAATTTAAATGAGTTCAAACGTCATACTCTTAATCAAGTCATAAGCTACTCTGTTTCCTTAACTGAGTTCTGTGGATTTAATTTAACCCTTAATTTGGTGATTGTTATTCTTGTAGGGCCACCAGAGATGCGAAGAAGAATTGGTTATCTAAATCAGTCTTGAAATGCTCAAACTTTTACAAAATAGGACTGCTTCGCAACTCACATCACTGTTGCTGTACTTGACATTGATTCGACCTTATCTCTTCATTAATATGATTCAAACTCGCTGGTGAGTCGATGACTTTACGTGCGATAATCGAATGACCTAAAACTAAACATTTATAAAACCTCCGTGTACATTCTTTGTTTGTTAGGCAGTGGAGTTCCGTTATACGTGACGTGTTTCAGCATAAATTATTACCGTATCGTTATGCGTATTTACTGCGCGTTTAAAGAAGTAAGAATTAATATGGGGACATGGGGTCTACTTGTGATGTTTATTGTTAAAGTTGGCATAGACAACGTGCACGCAGGTAAGTTTTTTTGAAGTGAAAACTTCTTTAGTATCGTTGTGACTTGAGATTCGATGAAACGGAAGTAGAGTATTTTACACAAGATAGGTATCCGTATTTTTATCGTTTAATATAAGAGATAGATAGCCAAACGGTTATGGTCTTAGTAAAGTTTCGTAAAGTTATTAGCGTGTCGCCACTGTCTACGTAAATGGCATACGAAATAATAATATGACGTATACAAAAACGGTGGCGTTAGTTACAATTTTCTGTAGCAGTACTGTATTAAGTTTAATTTTTTATTTTATGTACCTACTAGCTGTGCCCCGCGGTGTTACCCGTGTTTATTAGGCATATTTTCCCGCAGTAAAACGTAGCCTATGTGTTAATCCAGGGTGTCAGCTAACTCCATACCAAGTTTTATTAAAATCGCTCCAGCCGTTTAGACGTGAAGTATCAAATATACAAGAATATACACACTCACACACTTTCGCCTTTATAATATTAGTGTAATATGTACGTTTATAAAGTTACGTCTTCATTTTCAATTAGTAATTCCAATATTTCGACATGAGTGTAGATAAAATATACTTAATATGTAACTTTACTAATCCGTATAGGCATGGATCATTTTATTTGTCCATGGTTTAGGATCCAAAAAGATTGGTTCTACTTATAATAAGTATAATTTTATAGACAAAAATGGTAACTAGTTTTATAAATCCACGATGCAAGTGATATTTATAAAATCAAAAATTTCGTCCTTCTTCGCGCGGGAATCGAAACCGCGCCGCCCCCGTGTAGCAGATGAGCTTTCTTTCAACCACTGAACCCACAAAGCATGTAGATGTGATCAATTTTTTTGAATAACAATTAAAAATGTACGAGCTGTTAAAGATGAACAAAAAAATGTGTAAAAAAGAAATGTTTCATTTTTTTATGAACATCAAAATTCAAACCACCAAGCAGAGAGATTATAGAAATTTCTGTTTATTTCTTCCTTTGTTATTTATGTACCTAAATAAATTATCATGTTGAAAGGCTGCGAAACAGCAGAATACAGAAGGACTTCCTCTTCGCATAAAACATTCGCTTAGTCGGGAATCTCTGACCGGGATACGAAATTGGAATTTCCGTCTGTCGGACACGTCAGGAGCAGAGTGGGACGTCATACAGTTATAGTATCTTACCTAATAATCTAGACATCTTCTTTACATCTATATCAATACAATATAAATAAAATTGGAGTGTCTGTTCGTAATATTGAAATAACCGCTTTTTACTACATGCATATGAATATATGAGGAGCTACGTTTGGCGCAGGTGGTTAGCGCTTTCGGCTGCGATAGTTGAAGTTAAGCAACTTTCGCAGTGGTCGGTCATTGGATGGGTGACCAAAAATCTTCCATCTCGAGTTCCTCCGTGCTTCGGAAGGCACGCTAAGCCGTTGGTCCCGGCTGCATCTGCAGTCGTTAGCACCCACCAATACGCACTGGGCCCGCGTGGTGGGTCATGGCCCGATCTCCCTATTCCATCCATAGGGAAGGCCTGTACCGCAGCAGTGGGGACATTAATAGGCTGATGATGATATGAATATAGTGTAATGATAAGTATATACGGTACATACACCAAATACTTTTTTTTACAATTTTTGTCTGTCTGTCTGTTTGTTCCGGCTAATCTCTGAAATGGCTGGACCGATTCTGACAGGACTTTTATTGGCAGGTAGCTTATGTAATAAGGAGTAACTTAGGCTACCTTTCTTTTAGAAAAAAATAATTTATTTTAGAAAAAAAAACTAAAAGTTAACGCGGAAGAAGCTTAGATCAAAACAAAAAGGGTAGATACGGCACTAGCCCTACAAAAGTGATCCGCATAAATTGTGGCCCGAGACCACAATCGCTTTAGTCACAACATGACATGCAAACGACGTACATGTGAACGCCAAAAAGAAATATTGCTAATATTTTGTGTTTATATGATTAAACAATGCCTAAGTGTGTTTTTAAAAAGTGCTCAAATTGCTCAAGAACTAAAAATAAAACCCACGGCATCACTTTTCATTCGTAAGTACTATATACACACATCAAAAGTGTCTAGGGATCAAGCATTTTTATGCGGATTTCTTGAGATTGAGATGTGGCTTTGTAATAAATTTATGATTTTATAAATTTATATGGATCCTTTTTGGTGCATTTCATAATTTGAATCAGGAACTGTGAATCAAATTCGAGTAAAAGATGAAAATCAGCTGTCAATATTTTCCCTATAAAAACATACAACGCATTGAAGACATTATTAGTGCTACTGTTTCCCTACTACTGATTAAAACCAACGTTATTATGGAGCGGCGACGTCATTTAAGCAGGGAAGAAATGCTCAGAGCCGTGGGGAAGCTGGTTCCCGGCAACGTACTGTGGCTTTAGTTCTGAATACAAGTCAGAGTGTTATCAGTCGACTTTGGACACGATACCGAAGCACTGGTACCGTGGCTGAGCGCCATGGAGGACGGTATCGCTGCACCACACGGAGACAAGACCGATACATTCAAATCTTAACTCGAAGAGCTCCAACAATAACCGCCATGATGTTAGCCGTGAGGCTTCATCACTCTTCAGGGAACTTAATTAGCGACCAAACAGTCAGAAACCGCTTGCATGAAGTGAACCTTCATTCCCGAAGACCGCTACGGGTACCACCTATAGCAATGCACAATCGTAGGATTCGATATCAATGGGCTCTTGAACACAGAAATTGGGCAGAAGAACAATGGCGTTTCGTGTGCTTTTCTGATGAGTCTCGTTTTGGTATGAGACCGGATACAAGACGTATACGACACTGGAGAACCCCTGGACGCCAACAGCGATTAAAATCCTGCCAGGAAGTCCATCCTTATAGTGGTGGAACCATCATGGTATGGGCGGGTATTTGGATCGGCGGAAGAACTGAGTTGATATGGATCAGAGGCAACCTCAACGCTCAAATTTATGCTGAGACGATTGTATCAGACGTCATCGTTCCTCTACAAGTGCAAATCGGTCCCTTATTTCAGTTAATGCATGATAATGCACGACCGCACACCGCAAGAGTTGTAAGACAGACTCTCGCCGCAGCTAACATCAATGTCCTGCCCTGGCCTGCTCAGTCGCCAGACTTGAACCCGATTGAACATGCATGGGATATGCTACAGAGAAGAGCTCTGCCGAATATGGAGGGTATCCAGTCGCAAGAAGACCTTTTTTTGTTGTTGCAACGAACATGGGCGGCCATTCCACAGCGTGATTTGGATGAACTCATTTTGAGTATGCCAAACCGATGTTCTTGTGTTGTTAGTGTTCGCGGTAGAAATACGGATTATTAATTGTTTAAGTTACCCAATAAAATTTTAGAGAAAACTGTTATTTCAGTCTTTTTTTCGAACTTTTGTGTTAGTGGTTCAAATGTCAAAAATCCCTTTATTAGGAAAATGGCAAATTTCTTTATTAATGCAAAGGTGACTTGGTTTATCGTTACTGTGACAAACGAAAACACTTTATTTGATGAATCCTTAAAGAAAATTTTAATTAATATCAATCAGGAGAAAAGTTATTGCAAAAATAAGTGTTGATCCCTAGACACTTTTGATGTGTGTATTTTTTCATAAAAAATGCTGTTTGTTTTGAATCTTATTCGGTAGTGACGTCGAGTACTGGTTGCGTGATTGGTCGATAGTGCAGTGACGCGGATCTCGCCGTCTCGTTCGCGCTGCCGTTGAAACTTAACGTGCTGTTTCGTTCGGGTCGGTAATGCAGTGACGCGGATCTCGCCGTCCCGTTCGCGCTGCCGTGGGATCAGTTTTTGTTTGATGCAAGTATGAGCGTACCGTATCTACTCTTTTTGTTTTAATCTAAGGGAAGAAGTCGCGGGCGGCCGTTAGTAATATTATAAAGCTGAAGATTTTGTTTGTATGGTTGAACGCGCTAATCTCAAGAACTACAGGTCTTATATGAAATAGTATTTCTGTGTTAGATAGTGCATTTAACGAGGAAGGCTATGGGCTATTTAAATAACATCACGCTTCAACAAGTAAAAACGGAGCAACGATGATAGATGTTGCGAAAACGGAAAATATTCTTTTTTGACAGCTCCCGCAACAACACACAATACACAAAATCATGTATGATGGAAAGGAGATTGGTCAAATTGGCCTAAATGCAAATAAAATATTGACATATACAGTAATTCTTGGCGTAATTTATACTTTACTTTACAGTCATTAGATTTTAACGGCCACCTTTAAATAATATATTAATTTTAAAAAAGGACTTCTATTTTTACCGGTTTGGAAAACATACGAATCATTTTTATTGGCTATGGGTGTAGTAACATTCACAAAGACTGATCGAGGTTGTTTATATAACATCAAAACAAATCTATTTTGTAAAGATTGATAAAATATATTTTTTTTTATTACACCGGTGGTATTAATATCCACAACTTTTCATTTTTACTACATGCAAATGTGCTAAGACAATTAATATAGATGGTAGGCGACATCATAAAGTCTATTGCCGTACAATTTTGGCAAACACCTAAATAAACACATTATAAGGTGTGATACACTAAAAATCTAAAATATGGTTATAATAAAAACATAACAAAAATAATGAAGCTGCTGAAGATATGGCTGTATAACCTACAGCTCTTAGCTTTCTTTGATTAACGAGAGTTTAAAAATTCTCTCTAATCTGTGGCTCATTCACAATCATCACACAGTTTCTGTTCGTGTTTTTAAAAACATGCACATATTTGTTATTTTACATGCTCTATATACCTGAATCTAATACATAATATCGGTAGGTACTTGGCTTGATTGCCCTATTTTCCTATATAAGTTATTTGGTTTTTATTATTCTAATACCTATGTGCCTATTTGCAAACATAACCTCAAAATCATTCAGTGTATATGGTTTATAGAAGTTCTCAGGAGTGGCCGTCGATAATATTCGTTTCTACGGTAATTTATATATAATTTCGAATGTAGGAAACAATTTTTCATGGTTGTTGGTTTTTAGGCCAAACATGTATGGAAGCTGAGCAATCTCCTTTAAAAATGCTATAAAAATGTCCCCGATAATATATGTCCCTCTTTTGAGTTTAACTCACTATAATCTTTTTCCATAAATTAACCACATTCATCGATTGTTAGGCGTTTTTTAGAAATAAAAGTTTTTATTTTCCATGATACATCATACAAAAATACATACAACCATTCACCCTTCTACCACCATGGCGGTACGAAGTTCGCTGGGATAGCTAGTATATATTTAAACAAGTAGCAGTTTCAGTATTACAATAAAAACACAGAAATATGTCAATAAATTGAGATTACAAAGTAATTAAGGTAATTAACAAGTTAATTGCTTAAATTATCTTTAGTTATTAACCTTAATAATAATATAATAGGCGCTATATCAACGAACAATAACATAGTTTTACTAGGGAATTGATATTTAAGAAAAAAACAGAGGCTCCCAATAATGGATCAAAAACTCTCTATTTACAGACGTTGGCGCTCTTAAGTGTCGCCGCACACGAACCACCGACCACAACCACAAAACGCCGCCACCGGCATATTTCTTGTAGTTTTCATACATTTTATATGGATTCGCCACACACAGTACGCCCGCCGGTGGCCGCCACACGCTACAAACCGTCGTTGCTGGCTTCTTGTGGCCCGCAAACGCCCGCCACACGTCACTCGCGCGATTCCCCACCCCTCTCTCCCTTACCTTAGTCAGCCGCATTCGCGCGCTTCAGCCACTTTAGTAGCCGCTTCTAGCTTCTCGTGACGGCGTTTGCGGCTGTGGCTTGTGGCCCGTGTGCGGCGACACTAAGGGGCACATCAATGAACGGACCTACCCTCTCGCAAGTCTCACGGCGAAACGGAGAAGCCGATAAGCAGTCGGCGGCTTACGAGCGTTTACGGCATACTATCCGCTAAAAAACCCTACGAATAGGTACCCTATACGATACGCTGTTAAGTGCGAAACCGCGAGATCCCCATTGAGCGACTTCACCGCGTCTCCACCCCGGTTGCTTTGGCCCTAAGGTTAATGCGCCCCTGGTAAATATTGCAAAATTTGTATTTGCAGACTGCAGCTTATCTCTAGACAAAGATTTCGGTCAGCCATCGCCGGTGTTTTTGAAAAATGGCGGCGTTGTGTCGCCTAATTCCAAGGGCGTCGTTACTCTGCGACGCTCGGACACACTGCTGGTCGCGTGCCCCGGTAACAGAAGGCATATAGTGCTGGACAACAAGACCAGTGGTTATGATGAACTGGTAAGACCTACTGGTAGCCTATTAAAATGTAGCCGACACTCACTGCACTTGCTTGCCTACCAAAACTTCTGCAAACTTGAATAAATTCACTAGGTGATTCGGTATTCCAAACTCAACGAGTTGAGAGCCCTACAAGTGTGAAGCTTAATATACTCATAATTTATACTATTACACACCCTATTTCCTTTTCCCGCAGCCATCAGATGTATACATAGATGTAGTATTGATGTATATATACTTGCCCTTTTCTAGGCCATCGGCTAGCGACGCCCTTGCTCAGAATAATAACTGAGGGTAGTAAGTTAATGAGCTGATTCCGACAATCTTCTCTATTCTGTACTTTATCGTAAAGACTTAAGTTAAAACTTTTGATAGCAAACTCTCCTTTACTTTTTAAAAGCATGATAGAGATGTTTACCCATAAGGCCTGGCTTTGAAATGTTTCTCCAAACCTTAAACTAAGTTTGACGATAGTATGTAGTGTGCATACTTAAAAACTAAAGAGCCCTCGTCGCAAAGAGCCCCTGTTATAGGCCTCCACTCCTCCATTCAAACTCAAACTCATTTATTCAGTCTATTCATTCCTGTTAAAAGTCAAACGCTACGCCATCGGTTCGTAAATCTATGATATTATCTTTATTTCTGGAATTGAAATTATGTACATCATCGCGCCTCGTATATAAATTTATGTTCTGACACGTAAACAATATACAATAGTACATTTATTGAGAGGCAACAGTCATTATACTTATTCCTTTAAATTTATCCCTAATAGAAGTTCGAGATCCCAACCAATAAATAGCTCTTATAGCTCGTTTTTGAAGAATAAAAACTGTTTCAATGTCAGCGGCTGTGCCCCACAATAGAATATCATACGACTTAAAGCTATGAAAGTAGCTAAAATATATTGTCCTAGCAGTGTCGACATCTGTAAGCTGTCTTATTTTATAAATTACATAAGCAGCAGAACTAAGTTTACTCGCTAGTGTTGTAATGTGAGGGTTCCATGAAGTTTGTGGTCTATGTTACGCCTAAGAAACGAACTTTGACTTGTGTCGCCGACTCGAGGGTTCAAATCCCGGTGGGGGCAGATGTTTGTGTGATGAATACGAGCAATTGTACTTCAGTCATGGATGCTTAATATCTATTTCTGTATAAATAAACTTATAGTGTACAATATATGTATTCTATCCGTTAACCTAGTATCCCATAACACAAGCCTTACAGTGCTTACTTTGGGGCTAGGTTAATTGGTGTGAGTGTTGGAAATATTTATCGATTCATTATTTATTTATTTTACTTATGTATACTTAAATACACTTTTAATATCCAGGAGGCCCACTGCATAAACAACGACACCTTTCGGCTGGACCGATGGATCGGGAAGTTCAAATCCATCAAGTGCAACGCCCCGCCATGGTTTACCACCGAGGACACTAAGGAAAAGTGTTATAGCGCTAACAAATTATACAGGTAAAACCACAGAATACAGAAAGAGGTTAGAAGATCCCTGTGGACGAATCAGGCGCACCATAGTTAAGGCCTATACAGATATGAGCGATATCGCTGTCGCGCTCGGTAGCAATACCGAATCGGTACGCGATATCGCGACATGCGCGGTAATCGTTGTCGCGCTCGGTAAATGGTTAGTTAGTAATTAAAGATATGCAAAAACTTACCACTAATGTTTAATTTTCCTGCAATCTCATCCCATATTTAATTTTTCAAAAATATGTTTTTGTAATCTGGATGAGCCATATCAAATAGCACTGGATAAGATTTTACCAACTCAATAACTTTTTCTATTTCAATTGATTTTGGCATGATCTCGAACTCGTCCATGCATAAACAAATAGCAATACGTGTATGTGAGATGCGCCTCGCAGGGAGTGAAGGAAGGACTGGCTGGATGCGCACCGTCCGGCGTCGCGCTGTTAGGCGATATCGCGTACCGAGGACATCAGCGTTATCGCGTACCGATTCGGTATCGCTTATATCTGAATAGGCCTTTATGTGTGAGCAAAGGTTTAAAACAGTGATTCCCAAAGTGGTCTATATCGACCCCTAGGGGTCTATGACTACCTGCAAGGGGTCTACGTCAGCGAAAAAAATAATTGGGGGTTCATGAAATGAAAATGGGGGTCCACAATAATGGATCTCAACATACACTGATAGCACTTATTTACTTACATTATGCTATCTTCTATTAAAAAGACATATACATTATTTATAAAAGTACCTATGAAATAATAAAAAATATTATATATATGTTTATAAAATTTGGTAAGTTGTAAGATATTCGCTTTGTGGTCGCAATATCTTTTGAAGTTGTATAAACCTGCATATAATGATAAACCAGTATCATCTTGTTACACTAACTTCTCTCCAGATAGAAATTTACAAAAAATCAATATCAGGTAAGTAGGGGTCTACCCAAAACCTAAAAACATGCAAAGGGTCTATGACACAAATAGTATGGGAACCTCTGGTTTAAAACTTGAGCAAAACTTGTTTCTGATTGTGTCGTTGGGTGTGAGCGCTGATTGGTTCGTTGTTTGATGTCGCGCCATGTGATTGGCTATTTAAATATATTATATGGCTTTATTATCTTCCATAGTGGAAAAGTAGTGGGGGCGGACCGGCGACGTCGGTTCCTGTGCAAACTGTATACGATCAGCCTTCTAACCCTTTTCTGTGGTCTGTGGTTAAAACAATAATTATTTAGGTACTTGTTATATATACCAGTTCCTTACGAACATGCGGCATCCGGCATACTTGGTAAAATTGCATTGCACCAGAGGCGGTTTTACCTACAGTGCAGGGTTGTACGCGGCACACGGGCGCAGCGGTCTCAGGGGGCGCCGAGCGTTGGAGCCCCGGCGAGGCCGGGTAGCTGCTGGGTGCAGAGCCGTGGTAAAATCCCTTACGGGGACCCCGCGGCTTCGCATTAAGCAGCGTAGAAGGTATTCGCAGGACTTTTTTAGCGGATATTATGCTGTAAAGCGCCCGTAAGATTTACGGGGTCCTCGGTGGTCAGCCACTGGGGGATCCGTAAGACTTGCGGGAGCCAGGTGTGAGGTCCGTTCGGCGGTATGCCTCTTAAAGGCGCCGTCGTCTGTAAAAAGATTTTTTACCTGCGTTATAAAAAAAAGGGGCGCCGAGCGTTACTCGCCACCATTACATTCATTTTTGAGTGTGTTGTGTATGCTGTTGGTCGCAAAAGACCTTTACAGCGTCACCAGGTTTAAGGACTGCGAGATCCTAAAGGGACCTCAAGCCGAGCATTAGAGAGTTCCTCTAGAGGTATTCCAGGCGGATGGCATCTCCTCTCGTGGGAGTTTCCTCTACGTCTGGAGCCCCCAGACCATTAGATCCTGAGGTGGTCGGCTCAACTAGAGGACATCTCCGAGACTCGGACCTCGGCTCTAGTGCAGTTGTCGCGGGGGCGGGGTGAAACACCCAGGTACATACTCGTATCTGCACCTGGTATCGCTTGTCGTGTGTAGACTGGGTCTTCGCACTCTTATCTTATGGGTGCGGTGTCTGCCTAATGCAAAGCTAGTGTGCATGTTTGCTAGCTGTGTATTGTTGGTATTTGTGATTGTGTAGAAGGAGACAGAGGCGGTCATCATTACATTTAAACTCACTAGAGGGCGTTAGGTTAATGATGGTACACGAGCGCTACAAGGGCTAAAGACGCCTCTCCGAGATGGGTTGCCCCATCGTAATCCCAAAGAACGAAACTTTTTCTAGCTAGAGAGATGATAATTTCATGTGAGTAGATAGACACAGCATAGTCCAGCCACAACTACTTGAGTACTGTGGTACTCTATCCTGAAGGGATAGGTCTGGGAGCGTAGCTTTGCTACGGTTACAAATACTAATCAACAAATAATTTATAATTTTTATTTTTATGTATGTAACTGCTTGAAGTTTAAATCTAAAGAAAATATAACTAGAAAAATATAACTATAATTGCTATTTCTTCTTTCAAATGTTTAATACTTGTAAAAGTATTCATTTGACATTGTGGGTTACCTACATACGAAGAGATGGCGCTGCCTTGCAGCTTAAGAATGGCTAGAAGAATTTCGACGCGGCCATTAGGGCCGCGGTAGCATAATTGGTCAGTGCATTCGCCCGGATAGGAAGGGTGCAGGTTCGAGTCCCGTCTGCTGCTTGGTCCGCCAGTAAATAACTTACTTATTTTATTTTTAAATTGAGAGAGAATTACATCCGTACAATCAACTTATCGATTTTGTGCCTGAATACTATCTGCTGGAATCTTCGATAAGAGACAAAAGATTCCCATATTCAAATCTTTAAAATAATGACATTTACTTTGTACGAGACGACCGAATTAACATGAAATAAAGATTACGTGCAAAGTGAGACGTCTATTAGATAACAGTCTGAATTATGAATTATCGAAATATTTATCTATGAGTGTAATTTTACATGGATTGGTTAGTTATAAGTCATTAGTATACGATTTCATTGTTATTTTGTTAGAATAAGTCATAGTTTTGTTCATAGATAAATGATTGGTCTCGCTTCACTCGAGTGAGTCGAGTGAAGCGAGACCAATCATTCATTTATGGTTTTGTTATAATAGAGGATTCAAAGTAAGAAATCACTATAAATGGTTGCCATGGCGACGAGCGGTGGCGCAGAGAAACTATTTGTAAGTTGATAGTTGGCAAAGATGAGGGGCGCGGGTGAGGTAATGGATCGCTGGCCAGCTCAGCCCGCGCATATAAAAATCCGGCCCGAACAGGGTCCGATATCTCATACAGCAACAAGCGCTCCTACCTAAAGGAACAGGAAGAAACTAGCGGTTCACTCTGGACCTGAAGACTCCTCGCCGGCCATCCATTACCAGCGCCCACCGATTTTCTTCGATACAGAAAACTGGGAGTTTTATTTCATCGCGAGCTACAGTCCACAACCATCGTCAAGATTCCTACGTGCATCATCCTCCACCTCCAAGTGCGAGTCGGTAACTGCCAGTTACTGCTACAGCCCGGCGTGACGCACATACTTTTTAATATAACTGCCAGCCGTAGGCATTACATAAGCAAGGAGGCTGTAACGAAACGTACCTACCTACCTGCCCCACATACATACAACAGATGGAGGAAATCATTACTCACTATGCTCAAGAGATGGTGTTACCTGCACTGCGATCATAATAGTATGGCAGCCTAAATCGCGCAAGTAAAATTAGTAAAATTCGGAGGTTAACACTCGATATATACGATGCCCGACCAACATCAGTAGGGCCGCGTCCCCGAGCTACCATCATCCAGCTCGGAGGACGATCTTCCTCTTTGGCCTTCCTACACTGGTGACCCCCGACTGAGCACAGCAGCAGCAGCAAGAAGCAACCTTCAACCATCGCAGCGCCAACCATAATTCCTCATACACCTTCCTCATCAGGTCAAGCAACATCAGCAGTCACACAGCAAGCCAGCATTAGCCTCAAGGTTCCATCGCAGCTCTCAACGACGCTTCCTGGACCTTCGGCAGCACCCAATGGCATCCTCCCGACCTGGTGTCCGCAGCCCACGACCGGTACCTCACTTGTCGGCCGCAAGCACACCGGCGTGGCAGCCCTGTACACCAGCAGCTCGGACCCGTCACACTCCACCTGTTTCGACTTACCGTAGACTGGAATAACTCTGCGGCACTGGCGACGCGCCTTCACCCCACCCGTCTCGATTCACCGTAGACTGGGGCATCCTGCAGCACACTGGCACTTGCAAACTCGACTGACGCACTGACTTACTGACTATCGACCTCCGGTCTCGGTGGGGAGTGATGTGGCGGCGACATCTATCTGCCCCACATACATACAACAGATGGAGGAAATCATTACTCACCATCCTCAAGAGATGGCGTTACCTGCACTGCGATTATAGTACTATTATTCCCCGCGAATTCTTAGTGAAAAGAACTTTATATGAATCCTTGGTATTTAACTTCTAGGGTCGGCTACAAGCTCCGCAAAACGTTTTTCACGTTGTACGAGGCTTGTTTCGACAAGTCCCTCATGTCTACACTTTACGTCGTACACGAGTTGAGTCCTGACAACAAGCATCAGCCAGGACAGCGGCCCAACTTCGTAGGTCAGTACCATCACTACCATTTATCTATTTCCCTCATCATCAGCCTTTATGTCCCCTAATTTACTGAATTATTTATTAACAGAATTACAATATATAGAAATAGAATAACAACAACTTAAAAACTACCATGCCATGATTAAGGGCAAGAAGATAAAGAATGTTACTTTAGATAATAATGTTAATTTATATAATTAAAACAAACGTGGAATCACGGAGGAAGTAACAGTTAATCCGTGATCATGGTACTTCAAAAGTTCTGAAAGAAAATAAAGTGAGTTCATGGTAGCTAGCAATCTTTCTCATTTCATGAATTACTATAGTTTTAGTGACCATAAAATTTTAAAACAGTGTACCTCATCATCATCAACGTATTTGTCCCCACTGCTGGGACACAGGCCTTTTCTATGGATGGAATAGGGAGTTTGACCTACCTGGCGGGCTCGTACGAATTGGCGAGTGTTAAAGAGACGGCAGATGCAGGCATTACCAACTGCCTCTTGAAGTATGGAGAAGTTCGAGATAATAAAGATTTGGCCACTCATCCGTTGGCCGCCGGTCGTTGCGAAAGTTGCTTACCTTCCATGATAACAGACCGAAACTGAAGAAATTTAAAAATATCTTCAAATTTTATGGCCACATTATCACGCAAAGATTCACGTTCCGTTATCGCGATGAACTCTTGACTTCATTCTACGACAAACACTGGCAAATTACCGACAGCTACGAGAATAAAATGCGAATCTTTACGTTATCGCGACAGTGTGGCCCAAATGTTGGACGTTGTGGGTTACCTACAATGCGAAGAAATGGCGCTGCCCTGCAGCCTAAGGCTAGAGAAAATTCGACACGGCCGTCAGGGCCGCGGTAGCATAATGGTCAGTGCATTCGCCCGGATAGCGAAGGGTGCGGGTACGAGTCCCGTCTGATGCCTGGTACGCGTGGATTTTTTTCTAGTAAAATTTTCTTTGAATTTAAACATCTAGCATTTTTTTTTTTTTTATAGATAGGGCCGACAAATGACTCCACCCCACCTGATGTTAAGTGGAGGTGAAGTCCAGACGCGAAGATAGCTGATACAGCAGTTCTACCTGCCACACCAGCCATCCTCACCCTGTCGGCCTGCATGTTGCTTCTTCACGCCTCTTTTAAAGGATCCCAGGTTGTAAGAGGGAGGGAACACGTGAGCGGGCAGAGCATTCCATTTACGGATAGTACGACAAAGAAATGAGTCACCAAATTTCTTTATACGCGTTGGAATTGTAGCCACAGTTAGACGGTGACAACGTAAGCCAGCGCGCGTGGTCCTCTGAAGGAAAGGGGAAGGTGGAATAAGAGAGAATAACTCCTCAGAACACTCGCCGTGGTACAGACGATAGAACGCGCTTAGTGACGCCACGTCACGGCGTAATTGAAGAGGCTCGAGGTGTTTAGTCACCTCCTCATCGCCTATGATGCGTATTGCGCGCCGCTGTAACCTATCCAAAGCATCGAGCAAGTACTTGGCGGAGCCATCCCAGAGGTGCGAGCAATATTCCACGCAAGACCGAACCTGCGTCTTATATAACAAGCATAGTTGCTCGGGCGTGAAAAAACGCCGCACCTTGTTCAGGACTCCGAGTTTGCGTGAGGCTGTTTTTATCACACTTTCGATGTAATTTTTTGGATTTAAGTCACTTCGAATCTCCATACCGAGCATGGTGATACTGCTCTCTAGCTCCAGTGTTGTGCCCTGAAGAGAAGGACATAAAAGGAATGGCGACGTTTTTGCCGTGAAAGCGCAGACCTGGGTTTTCTTAGCATTGAACCCAACCAAGCTCTTGGTACCCCATTCAGAAATGTGGTCCAAAGCCTGATTGAGTTCAATGACAAGATTCTCCCGTTTCTCCTTGGTTATCGCCTGCCCAGCCGCTGCTTGTCCGAGATACCCCGCATGCACTGTACTGTCGTCTGCATAGCAATGAATATTCCCAAGAGGAATTAGGTCATTGATATGCAGCAGAAAGAGAGTGGGGGATAGGACGGAGCCCTGGGGAACGCCGGCATTCACTGACATGAACCGCGAACTGCTACCATCCGTAAGGACACGAATTCTACGCTCATGCAGGAAGTCAGCTACCCAAGAACAGAACTGGGCCGGCAGACCGTATGCCGGAAGCTTGGAGAGAAGGCTTTTGTGCCAGACCCTGTCGAATGCCTTGGCAATGTCTGGGCTGATAGCCAACGACTCGCCCCGCTTGTCGGTAGCCTCACCCCAGATATGAGTCAAGTACGCTAGAAGATCACCCGTCGATCGTTTCGGTCTTGACGATAACCGACAACCATATTGACGATCATTAATCAGGGAGTGATCCTCTAGGTAGCGGGTCAGATGGTTGTTAAGGACCTTTTCTAGGACTTTACATAATACTGAGGTGACTGCTATTGGCCGGTAGTTTGCCGGGTCTGAGCGATCCCCTTTTGTGGGTATCGGTTGCACGTTAGCATCTCTCCAAGTCTCCGGCACACGCCCCAAAGAATACAAGCACTGGTACAAACGCGTGAGCACGGGAGACAACTCCGCTGCACATTTTTTCAATACTACTGCTGGGATGCCATCAGGTCCACTAGCATTTAAATGCTTAAAAATCCAAATATATAATTATACTTATGTTTGTTTAATTTTCATCTACAGAAGGCAATCTGTTCGGCAAAGTGCGCATGGCGGAGCTGTACAAATTGAACAATCAAGTAGACCGCCTGAATAACGTGTTGGGCGCCAATATGTCGCAAGTGTACCTCACCAAGAAACAGGTAAATATTGGCGTGGAAGCGGCAGAATCCCTAAACGGGGATCCCGCGATTTCGCACTTAGCAGCTGCAGCAGAGGGTATACGCAAAAGCACGAAATTGATACCGGAGAGTCAGTGCTGAGATTTTGCGGAATAAAATCCTGAAAATTGAAAGTGTTTATGCAACGATATTAAATGCCCGATTAAAGTAACCTTTAATACATATTGTAAAAGGTCTTAAATAAAACGCATGCGTCAAGGACTTCTGACAGTTCGAAATGCAAGCTCGTAAAATTTTACGACTCATTGCTATATGCGGAAGAATTTAGACCTTAGTTCTTTGACTCTACGCACAATTCTGAACGCGCTGTTAGCAATGTAGCAGGCACGGACCGCGAGGAAAAGAGACGGCTATATGGCAACGATAACCGACCATGCATTTGAATATCACAAATATTTTATATTAAATCAGTTTATAGTAAGTATTACATCAAAATTTACTTCAAATGCGTTAAATTAACAAACATTGACTAGATACCTGTCGAAAAAACGACACTTTTCGTACTCTAAGTATTATTTTCGCATTTTTTCGCGGAGCTCTGTGGCATCTCGACTTTGTAACGGTCCGCGCGTGACTGTGAACCAAGATGTGCTTGAGTGGTGATCAAGCACTTCTTGATTGGGTACATTTTGAGCGCTCGTGGTGTATCTAGGGTATTTAATATCGTTGTGTTTATGTGCAAACCGACCCCCAACCAACATTAATATATTTTTTATGTCCGTACAGTTTCTATCACGCGGTCACTTAGCTCCGCGCGCGGACTTCCCATTGCGCGCTGCGCAGCTGGCGTCGTTCCACTACGTCAACACCGCACCGCAATGGATGCGTGGCAACGCCGGAGACTGGGCCGCGTTGGAGGAGGTATGTTTTATGGGGTGCGCTGACGAGGGATTTTTGTTCGCAGACTTTTTTCCCCGCCAAAACAGTTCGCTTAGGGTCGCCGCACACGGGCCACCGGCCACAACCACAAATCACCGCCACTGGCATATTTCCTGTAGTTTTCATTCATTTTATATGGACTCGCCGTCAGTGACGTCTTTGACTTATTGGAGGCCCTGGGCATATTAGGACAATGGGGCCCCTATAACCCCCGTTTGGTGATCTAACAGGAACTAGGGACTTTGTTTTTGATCTGAAGTGGGCCCCTATCGATTGCGGGGTCCTGGGCACTTGCCCAAAGTGCCCACTGGGAAAGAGGAGTCTGCTTGCCGCACACCGTTAACGCCGGTGGGCCCCGGTTCAATTGAAAATCCATTCTGTTTTACTTGATTAATTTTTATTTCATCATCAGCCTATTTTTATAATATCGAATTTTTATTTAGTATCGATTTTTTTTTATATCTAAGGTTAAAGTTAGGAAGGAGATTATCTTTATATATATAATTCTTCTGTGAGTGTGTATGTCACTGAACTTCTCTTAAACGACTGGACCGATTTTGATGAAATTTTTTGTGTGTGTTCAAGGGGATCTGAGAATGGTTTAGATTCACAAAGACGTGTAGACAGGACAACGTCTGTCGGGTCCGCTAGTCTTATATATAAAATTCTCGTGTTACAATGTTAGTTACCATACTCCTCCGAAACGGGCTGACCGATTCTTATGAAATTTTATATGCATATTCCGTGGGTCTGAGAGTTGGCTAATATCTCGTTTTCATATCCATATATTGTAACGTAGTGTTCTCATATGGGTTAGGAGGAATGTTATCCCAGGAAATTGATAGAACACTACGTTACAAACCCCTAAATTTTTTTTGGACATTATTTATTTTTTGGAATGTAGTATTAAAAAATACATACAACCCTAAATTATCTCTTCTACCACCTGCCCTTATTTTTATGGCGGTACGAAGTTCGCTGGGTCAGCTAGTCTTACTTATAAAAGTACAAGCAATAGGCATTCTGTTAAAAAAAATATCGAAGAAAATCTACCCAAAAAGAATTTATACTTTTTTAAAGTTGTCTTATCGTTGAACTTAAAAAATAACGAAAAAGAATCTAACTCGAAAACTAACCAAAATCGTAGAACATACATGGGGGTTAAATTGATAGGTATGGTACTCCGCTATCAGCTCGCACTCGCTTGACACTCTAAAAGAAACACCCTGTATGCTTTCCAATTACAGAGCATAATGCGACTCAGTGCCGCACAATGCCCAATTATGCTGATGCTTAATTGGAACGTGAATTAGTTTTCAAATGCACCAGCAGAGTGCGCTTAGTTCAGTGTTGAAAAAAAAATCAATGTTTGTACCTTCATCCATACTTATATTTATTTGTTAACAGTTTGAATGAACTTTGATTATTTAAAAAGAAACTATTTTATGAAACGAAAGCTTTAATAATTTTTCAACAATAAATAATATTACTAACGATAACATATAAATAAAACATTTCGATCAATGCCAACTTAAAGAAAAAACACTTGTTAATTTTCTTTCTCTAAGTTGGTACCATTGCACGTATCACACGAAAGCATCACTTTTGAGAGTGCTCAATTGTGCGAAGCGTTGCTGTAGTTAGAAACACTCAACGTTAAGCATTATGCCGCATAATGCGCAATAATGCTGTAATTGGAAAGCAACCCCTGTTTACACATATTGTCGCAAGTAATGCTCGTAGCGTTTTAAATAGTATTCGCCGAGTTACTAGTGTCAATAAGTACGAAAGGACATTGTTCTTAGGAGTTTTATGCCGGCCCTTCACTTGACAACAGTCTGTCCTTGTCATGCTTAATAAGGAAGGAAAAGGACAGACTGATGTCAAGTTTTCAAATAGCAAATACGAATAGCCAAGTGAAGTGCCAGAATTAGGAAGAAAAGTGTTTTGCTTGCAGCGCTGTCATAGATTATACACATAAAATGGTATTTCTGTCTTAGATTATTTTTGAACTTTTTGATTTAGCTTACTTAACTTAAAAACCTTCAAAAAAAGAGCGTACTCCTTCCTTAAAGGCCGGCATCGCATTTGTGATACTCCTGGTGTTACAAGTGTCCATGGGCGGCGGTGATCACTTACCATCAGGTGAGCCGTCTGCTCGTATGCCACCTATATCATAAAAAAATAAAAAAAAAACTTAACTGGAAGTGTCCGTCACAATCTAAGTACTGATAATTATCGCAAAAAGCATACTAAGAATTATGATAAATGCCAAATTAGCGTTGGTTCTTAGGTCAATTTTAGCATTGCCCTTTGGTGACCCAGGCTCTACGCCGCCGCGTCCAGAAGCTGTCCCGACCCGTCACAGTGTACACTGGGACACATGGAGTGGTGACGCTGGCGGACAACACGGGACGGATGAAGCCCATATATATGGACGTAGACGCGAACAACAATGAGTTGGTGCCTGTCCCATTATACTTCTACAAGGTATTTAACATAATCATCATCAGCCTATTCATGTCCCCACTGCTGAGGCACAGGCCCTCCCTATGGATGGAATAGGGAGATTGGGCCATGACCCAGATTGGCGAGGGCTAACGAATGCAGATGCAGCCGGCACCGACGCCTTAACGTGCCTTCCGAAGCACGGAGGAACTCGAGATAGAAGATTTTTGGTCACCCATCCAATGACTGAGAAAGTTTACACGTTGCACGTTTCACGTTGCGTCCGTGGCCGAGTGGTTTGTATGTCGGGTTTCATGGTGTCGCTGAAATCGGTGGTCCATGAAGTCGGCCGCTAAACCGCACATTACTCGTAAGTCTCGAAAAAAAGCTTCCAGCAAAATAGTAATAGGATCTCTTAGTCGTACATGTTGGGACGTTCGTCGCCTCTGATCACTGTTTTCATATTTATAATATTTATCCACATGTTTCTAGTTTCTATATTCTTAACACGTGTTATAATGTTATACAAATGCGAAATTTATATGTGCTAATAAATTTTATTCAGTAGTGATTTAAATTGAATATTTTGATTATTTATTAAATTTTTCAAATTAAAGCTAAACTTTATTGACTGCGTTGACTATCCTTTTCCAATCCTTTTATTATCTTATTGTAATTAATTATCTGCATGCAATTAAAAACTATTTTTAAATAATTCCAAAAAGAAGTATAACTTCTCACGCGCGTACTTAAGTACACACACCCATATTTTTTTATTTATTATTATTATTATTGCGCAGAATTGGGTCAATTCATAGCTAAACTTTTTTTTTACAGTTAGTACACGACCCTAAAACGAAGAGAGCGACCGCATTTATAACAATAAACTCTTCGTACTACAGTGACAGCATGTTAAAGAACCTGACGTTCTGTGACGACATCTGTGACGGCAACTCAGACTTCAACTGGTTAAAATGGCGCGCGAACGACGGCACTTTCAGTTTCTGCTGTAGATACGAGCAGTTCGTCGAGGAAGTTGGACAGCTACCACGTTTACATGTTGCTGGAGTATTTTATTGATGTTATTCCTATTGACGACCTCAGTGGCCTAGTAGTTTGTACGCCGGGTTTCATGGTGACGCAGACTCGAGAGGTTCCGGGTTCGAATGCCGGTGGGGGCAGATGTTAGTGTGATGAATACGAGCATTTGTACTCCAGTCATGGATGTTTAATATGTATGCCTATATAAAAAAAAATGTACTTATATATGTACAGTATATGTATTCTATCCGTTACCCTAGTATCCCATAACACAAGCCTTATAGTGCTTACTTTGGGGCTAGGCTAATGAGGGCTATCGCGTATGAATCCGCCGCTAGAGGCGCTAGTGTAGCGTGAGGTCTCCGAAATGTCAAATGTTATTGCTTGTTGGTTGACTACGCTGGTTTATTTCTTATTAAAATAACGTTGTGAATAATTGGTAACAATTCGGCTTAATTATGGCAAATATGAGTTATGTGGCAATGAATGTCAGTTATTAAAAATTTGAGCTTAGAAAAATGATTATGTTCCCATTTTTTCCGAATAAAACGGAACTGGGCGTCACTGTGGCATTGCCTATTATGTTTAGGATATGGTTCTTTTGTGTTAAAATACGATCTAAATGTAACCTTTGATTTCATGTGCGTATTAATAAACTTTAAAAGTTACAATTTAGGACCTCACTCAACAGTGGCGCCATCTGGTGAGACAGAAAACGGTAGCCCTCATATTGGTGTGAGTGTTGGAAATATTTATTTATTTATTATTTATTATTCGTTATGAACAAGACGTAACTCTTGGTTTAGTCGAGTAAAAGTGGCGGGCAGCTTGGTTGAAAAGGACGAAGAAGAACTATATAGACAATTTCGACTATGGAGAAAATTTCAATGAAGACCACAGTCAAAGTTCAGAGGTAAAATTATCTCTTATCTATTAGACAAGTCCGTCCGTCTGTCTGTGGTGCTGTTTCAGCGGCCAAACCGTAAGAGATAGATAAAGAGAATATTTAAGGTATAAGTTAAGAATAGTCTGATAAGACTACAAACCGGATTTGAGTAACGTAGCACTTCCGGTTTTCGAGAAATCAGGTTTTGGTGAACATTTGGTTCACTGGTTTGCTAGTATTATAATAATTAGGTCCTTATAAGAAGTGTGGTGTTGTTGATTCCAAATAAAAAACACATACCGTTACTGCAGTAATTTATGGTATTTACGGCATTTTTACCTTATACCTTGTTTTTAGCGAGTTTCGGATATTTCGGCACTGTTGCAAGCGCCATGATCACGGAGTAACCAAAAATCCGTGATCACGGCGCTTGCAACAGTGCCGAAATATCGGAAACTCGTTAAAAACAAAGTACATGGTAACGATTCCGTAAAATAAATATTTAAGTATTTATATACGTTTAAATATAACGAGACTGAAGATCTACTGCATCCTAGCACATGACACACACATATACACACTCAGAAACGTGACACAAGAACCTACTCATTATTTAAATTTTCTATACATAATTTTACCAACCTATTTCATTAAATGATTACATACTGATGTTATAGAGGAGCTGGCGAACGAAACAGTATAATTACATTACATTAAATTTTACAGGAGCTGTAAAAAACTGAATGACATACCTACACTGAGCTTTTGGTATGGTTTTTAATTTATGAATTTAGTAATTTTAACACTAGAAAAAAAATCCACGCGGTCCAGGCAGCGGACGGGACTTGAACCCGCACCCTTCGCAATCCGGGCGAATGTACTGACCAATTATGGTACTACGGCCCTGATTAAGCTGCAAGGCAGCGCCATCTCTTCGCATTGTAGGTAACCCACAATGTCAAATGAATACTTTTTCATTTAATTGGTCCCGTCCGCTGCCTGGGCCGCGTGGATTTTTTTTCTAGTAAAAAAAGTTAGCAGTTAAATGCTTAAAAAAACAAATTTAACACTGGTTTAGGCGGTTCGATTGAAAATTATGTGAGATTCAAATTCAACGGACCCGGAACCTCCGGACTGTAAAAAAAAGTAATTTGACCAGATGCGTAATTATACCGTTTTGTTCGCCAACTCCTCACTGTTTTCTCTTCAACATTGTAAAAACACAATATTTTTTTCAGAACATGTAATTTAGTTATTATGTTCCAATGTAAAGAGAGGAGAGTACTGGCCTTCTGAGATGCAGTCTGCACCTTAGTTCAGATACCAGTCTCTTCACAATATTGTTTTAAAGAAATTAAATTAATTATTAGATATTGTGTGTCCACCCCTTAATAAGGATGTATGTCTTATTCCTTTGTCTAAAGTCTATTAAAAAAGGTTACTGTCACTTCCTCTTTGCCCTCTGTGGTAAAAATGGTCGGTACGTAGTCGTTGTGCCTTATTATTATAAATTAAATCTAAGTGCATCTTTTCATAAACCACATGTGTATTAGTCCGATATTGTTGTATCTAATAAAACGACCAATACGCCGAGTTCCATGTTTTTATTTATGCCGAAATACTATTCGGAAAAGTGCTTCCACTTTAAAATTGAGATTAATTTGTTTGTTTGATTCCCGAATAATTTATTTATTAACATAGCATTAATACCTATTTGTTAAATAAAGAAGTACCTAAGTGTTAAATGTTTCTATTAAGGGTCAGGCCGCCATTTTTTGCTGATATGGCGCAGAAGTATTGTGTTGATGGCGTAGAAACTTCTACGCGTCGGTGACGTTGAGTAGCGTATAATAGTGACGAATAAATGTTAAGGTTGGCATACACATGCCAAAATATTAAGATTAAATTATGTTGTATAACGTAATTGCACCAATTATCGATACTTTAAGGATGAAAAGGTGGGTTTTTGCAGGATTATTCCTAATATATCAGGATTTTGTTTAAACATCAATGTTGAGCTTAATGTCCGTCTTTTTTCCTTTATGCTTATGCCGAAAAAGTTAGAAACAACCGCATAAAAATGAGAGATATCATTAAAATATAAACACGGTTTTTTAAGCTAGTAATGGACAAGGAAAATCATTTAATGGACATCCAGTGATGAACATGCACCAAATATGGACATCTAATAATGAACACAATTTAATAATGGACCCCCACTAATGGACCAGCTCGTTGAATTTAGAATAATAAGTAGTTCCCTATATCTAAGTAAATAAAAACATCAACAATTTTATAATCAACTAGACATTTATTATATTTTTATTTTTTAAAGCATTTATTTGCTAGATTATAAATCTAAAGAAATTTTTTACTAAAAAAAATTCCACGCGGTCCAGGCAGCAGACCGGACTCGAAACTGCACCCTCCGCTATCCGGGCAGATGCACTGACCATTATGTTACCGTGATCTATGCCTTGCAGCCTACGAAATACAAGCTGAAATTACACGAATGGGTTTAGTTAGTATACATATATACAATCTCGAAAAACATTACCCTCCTTTCTTCGGCAGTCAGGTAAAAAGTTAGTATAATAAAAACAAGTGGATACCTACCTTTATTTGGTGGCGTAGAGGAGGTGACGAATATCTACGCTACCGTTGGCGTTGAAGTACCAAAATGGTGGCGTATTTCTACTTCTACGCTATCGTCGCGTTGAGAAAACCACTTATATCTCTGTAAATAAAGTATGATTTGAGTTGCATTATAGCTCCAAACATGGCTGTCACTTCTACTAACATGATGCACTATTTGTTTGTCGTGTAACAATCAAACTTAATTTTTAATGCACAAAAATCTAACCTTGAAAAAATTGTGTACACAAACTACACCAGACGTTCACATGTCAACTGTCAAAAATATAGCCGCTGTCCACAGATTACAGAAACTCAGTGTTGCCATTTCCCGATTTGAACTTCACCGATTCCTAAAGTTTAATAGAACATGGAGAATCGGTGGCGTTGACAAAGTGGCCTATAAGTACAGTTTTTGACGAAAACTTATTTGAAATCATTTTCAAGGAAATTCTTAGGATAAACGTTGCTAAATTAAAATCACGGATAGCTATTAATATAAGTATTCTTAAAGTATCAGCCATGTCTCTAAAACTGACATTCCTTTAGCTACTACGATAGTTAAAGTGCACCTCTACCTCGGCGGATAGAAGTTTTTGTGTAATTTTACTACCTTTTTTCAGATTTCATTCGAAATATATTTTTTGTTTATTATCTGACTTGAAATAATCATAATGTCCACTTGAGTTACTTTGTTGCTTAATCCAAAGCCGTCATCGAAAATCCGATATCTATAATACTTTTCAAAATACTGACCGCGGAGAAAACAGTTTTCAAAATCAGCAAAAAATGGCGGCCTGACCCTTAAACGGTCCTTTCTTATTTGATATAGCAAATAAACGTATACATGACGTCCTAGGTTCCATACCCGGTAGATAATAAATAATAATAAATAAATAATTTATTCCTCACCATAATCCGTTGGGATAACAGAAGCAAAATGTTACAATACAAGTCGATACAAGATTATGTCAGGTTGATACCTGAACTAGGAAAGATCCTGTATCTCAGGTTATCAACCCTCCACCTCACTATTTTCGAACAATAATTATGCAGATGAAAATGTTTGCACTATTTCCTAGGAAAAACCGGTATTTTTTAGCATAAACCATAGTGCATGCGCTAGCGCAGTATCAATTTTACATGCAAAAACATCTTCTGCGCAACTTTGTTTGTCTATAATTTTTTTGTTTCACCCCGATGTCTATCAGACCATTTAATAATATCGGGACTTGCAGAACATATAAAAACAGCAAAAATAAAACGAAAACTGCATTTAATTCATATATGTATATATATTCACTTTTTTTTTAATACAAATGATATATAATTCTCTTAAACTATATCTTTGAGATTCCTGCATATATTTACACACACAAGGCTTATAAAAATTTCGGACTTAAAATTACATAGTAACATAACATAGTATTACTGGTGGACTTGTATCTCAAGTTTGTTGTAACAGTATTTCATTTATTTATGTATATAAATATTCGATTACAATTTTATGTTTTTAGCATGTAAATGCTCGATGTTTAAATCTAAAGAAAATATTACTAGAAAAAATTCCACGCGGACCAGGCTGCAGGCGGGATTCGGAACCATCAAAAAAAATCTATAAGTACAGGTAATTGCTATTTATTCAATCAAATGTTTAATACTTGCAAAGGTATTCATTTGACATTGTGGATTACCTGCAATGCGAAGAAATGACGCTGCCTTGCAGCTTAAGAAAGTCAAGAAAGAATTCGACACGGCCATCAGTGCCGTGGTAGCATAATATTCAGTGCATCCGCCCGGATAGCGAAGGGTGCGGATTCGAGTCCCGTCTGCTGCCTGGTACGCGTGGATTTTAGTAATATTTTCTTTAGATCTGTATTCGGTTGCATAACAATCCTGTTTGTGCTTCACAACAACTCAGAATATATTGCAATTGAGGAGCTGGCCAACAAAACGGTATGTATAATTAAGCATCTGGTCAAACTACATTTTTTTACAGTCCGGAGGTTTCAGGCCCGTTAAATTTGTATCTCAAATAATTTGTATCAAAACTGTCTAAAACAGTGTTAAAATTATAATGCGATTCAACTAAGAATATGTTGACGTCATAGTTGTCAATTCAAAGCAAATAGGTAGAGTGAGAAAAAAAAAGTTGCTATTTAACAAAACTTATTTAAGTACTAACATTAAGTGAGACAAATCATCATTTTTTTTAATAAAATCAATTTAATAAGGTTGAGAAAGAACACAACCGATTTTTATTAGTATTTCTTTATTAAAACTGTGTGAAAAGAAACATTAATCACAATCTAGCTCTTCAATTTCGCTCATCTATGCATTACCGCCGGAGAAGTTATGAATAATCATATAGGTCACATACGAACATGCATCCTATATGCAAACGAAAGTTTTAAATCGAGTTTTTAAACGCAACAAAGTGACATTTGGTTGACGATTTAGGTTATCAACCATTCATAGACAAAGCTCAATAAATGAAAAAAAAACAAATAATATTAATTATCAACATTTGTTATTGTTTGTTTAAAAATGTTTGGTTTTTATTCTAGAATCAGCTGAATGCTAAAAAAGTGTTCCGAGATTTTTTTTGCAAACCGTACTTTTCAAGCGACATTTGACAGATGGAGGTCATTGGCTTTCCTATTCTTATTTGAATCGCATTATACAAATTTTATAAATTAAAAAGCATGCCAAAAGCTCACTGTAGGTATGTCATTCAGTTTTATATAGCTCCTGTCAAATTTTATTTACCATTTTGTCCGCCAGCTTCACAATTATTATGTTTGTAGCTCAACGATAAGGCCTCCCATAGAGGCGAGTTAGTAATCGATTGTAACGGATGGGCTATTGCCTCATCTGTCCTTACTACATTGTGTTAGGACGGTTACGAAGTTACGCACTGTAGCGATAATAACAACGCAATAGCAGTAGGGTAAATCACCCAAACATTGGCACAAAACATAATCAAATTCATTTATTCAGTTTAGGCTGTTACAAGCACTCATGAATGTCTAGAAGCTACGCCATCGGTTCGTAAATCTACGGCGGGAGAACTTGTACTGAGAAGAACCGGCAAGAAACTCAGCAAGGGCTTTATCTCCCTGTTTTATTATTTACAGAGTCGTCAAGTTGAAAATTTACTTCAGAGATGATTCTTGAAGTCACCTTTCATTACATAATGTAAAATTATACATTAATTGTTCACCTGCATTTTGATTGCTGTGTCATACAGTATAAATTCAAATCTCTTCCAATTATTGACACTTTTGAGTTTAGTTCAAAAACACAGGGAACGAATAAGACTATCGGAATAGTGCTGACAATTTTAAAATTGTCAACCATACTCCGCCTTATTACAAAACTTAGACTAGCATCTGTGTTTAGAATGAATATAGGCAGGGGTTTTTGCTATTTTTACAAAAAAATATTCATAATTTTACTAAAAACTAACGAAAAAAATAATAGTTTTCTTATCTTTTGTCACGTGACCCAAAACGCTTGGGATTGGCAGAGCCTAAAATGACGTCACACGCAAGTAAACTTTCGGTTAAAGTGACATTACATTGTATCTTTTGACGTTTTAATAATAGTCGTGTGACGTCACACACTAGTAAGACGCCATATTGTCCAGAGAAAAGTTTTCGCGGCAATTTGAAAACAGAGTTTTTGATTTGGTTATTTTTACTGAAATACACAACAGAATGTTGAATATCCACTTTACGCGCGGACTAAGTTTATCTTTTTAACATGTGCCGAGCTTGAATAATCTATCGTTTCCTTGTTTTTTCGAACTAAACTCTAAAGTGCCGATGATTGGACGAGTGCCAATGATTGGGTGGTTTCCCCTATAAGGAATTGTCGACCGATAATAAAACGCATAAGTATGAGAAAATTGCGCGAATCAAATTTAAAAAAATACACTTGTTTTGCCTCTTTTTAAGAGAGCAGATATAGTTATCTGCGCAGGCCATTAGACTTAAGGATTTGCCACACTGAATGCGTTCTGCGGTCTGCGGTCAGGTCAAAGTGAACGCTGCCCGCATTATGTATGAACAATATTGTCGGTCTCTATATATTTTGTATAGATATGCGATCCGACCGTGCGAGCATGATCAAAGAACGCGGGGGAAGGCAGGGACGCGTACGGGCAGGTAGGCAGGAAGCGGGCGGCGGTCAGAGGGCACGGATTGACGTTTCCGTTCGACAACGCCGTCGAAGACAATTGTCAATCCCTAACATTTTTTATACGATGACCAAGTTAGATATCTTACCAAATACAACTTGGCTACGGGCTCTGATCACCACTGATTCACGCAGACTAATGCCGCTGTTTGCCATGCTCGCATCGCTGACAGGTTTCCCTGCCCGGACCGCTGACGGATTGCCCTGACCGACAATATTGTTCATACATAATGCGGGCAGCGTTCACTTGGACCTGACCGCAGACCGCATCCAGTGTGGCAAATCCTTTAAACATCATGTACCAAACAGCAACAAACCTACAGTAATTTGTCCAATTATCACATTTATATTAAAAGCTGGTATTTTTACGCACAACAATAATGATTCGGCCATTATCTTACCTATTAAGTACATAAAAATCTCGAATAAATGACTCGAAGGACCAAAATTAAAACTATTGGAAAAAACCGACCATAATTTTATCCGCATAAGATATTATAACAAATAATACAAAAATATAATCCCAAATGTTAGATACTAATGATTAATTCCAACATAAAATGAATAATAAAAATAATGAGGAATGATTTGTTTCAAAATTTTGTGATTTCAATTTTACATTAAATAGGTTTCACTAATTCCTTTGTGACTGGCCATAAAATCAACAATGAGCTCCATTGTCCTTTTTTTTATTATGTTGGTAGATCTTTGCTCTCTATAATGGCCGTCAAAGCTTGTCTGTCCTTCTTGTTTTCGCAAGCACAAGCAATTAAAGCCAGCAAATGTTTATCTGAATACTCAGTCTTTTCCCTAACGAAGTCTTCCAAGCCTTTCCTAGGCAAATAGTATGCTTTCACGTACCTATCCACATAGTCCTGATAAGGTATAGGTTTCAAACCAGATATCTTTTCCAACTTCACAAATAATTGTCTGTAATCTAGTTGCATCAGCCCTCTACCACCATTAGAGCACTTCGTAGCATTAGAAAAACCTTCGACAAGTAGATGCACTATGAATTTAGAAACCATAGACCAGATAGATTTTAGCACTTCCATGTTCAAAGTGATTTTGGTCGAAATATTCTCTAAGCGAATAGCGAATACTTGAATTTTCCTTGTCAGCATGTCTACGTAAGGGCTGTGCTCGACAGCAACGCTTTTAACGTCCCATTTAACTTGGGACATCGCTATAAGGGACTGCCTTGCATCAACAGCTTTCGACGCAGAACACATGTACACTGGCATTCTCAAATCTGCAACTACCGCCAGCGTGTTATCTCTGAAATGTTCTAGAATTAACTTTTGGTGTGACGCCACTATCGACTCTAAATACGGTTGCAGTAACGCGTACTGTTTAGCCAGAAATATAACGCTCTCGACGGCCACTATTCTCTCACTCAAACCGTGGAGATTCTCCTCCGAGGTCATGTCCAAATGCTGAGGTAGGTCGGGGCAAATGAAAGTTTTCGCATCCCCATCTCCCGCACTAGCGTCGATACTATTTGAGATTCTTTTCAAAACCAAATTCAGCTTCGTCGTGTACAAAGTCGTGGATGCGACATCCAAGTCCGACGTGAAAAACAAATGCACGGTGTAAAAATAATAGTCGAACAATTGGTTCATTAGCATCACAACCTCTAATGAGATTTGGGGTAAGTATCTACATATCTGGAGGTACTGCCCGCAGTTCCTCAGCACTGAGAGAGTTGTGTTTGTGACTATGACGCTCTCTTTCACTCTCGAGGGGCTCTCCATCTGTTTCTCTTTGTTGGTTGACGCGTACTCATGTCTGTCTACTTCGTCTACGAATTCGCGTTTCAGTTCGTCAGGCTCGTCCTCAGACTCATCGCTGGCTTCCAACTCCGGCTCCAGGCCGAAAATATCATCGTTCGTTACATTCTCATTTCTGAATATTTCGAAAGGAGTGTGGTAAGTCTTCTGATTTAAATATTTGGAAATATAAACGCTATCCTCTTGAGAATGCACCGAAGATGCACCGTCGGACGGTGATCGCACCATGGACGTGTCAGCTTTGTTGGGACTCAAATACTTTTTGAACTGTTTGAACTCTTGAAGGTTTAGTAAATTAAATGTAGACTTCACAGGACACTGTTCCCAGCCTTCGTTCTCCAGAAACAATTTCAGTTCCTCCATCCTACCTCTATGGTAATTCTTTATGTACGAAACGCTTTGCGTCTTAATGAAGTCCTGGAGGATATCAGATTTGTCACCACAGAACACCTCGGCCACTTGCGTCAGTTTCCTCAGGATGCCTAGCATTTGTATAAACTTTTCAAAAGCGTACTCCTCTAAACCGGAGCTTTTTAGAAACGTCGAGACCTTCGCTTGTACTTCATGCCACAACCTTAGGAGTCCTGCTTTTAACTTCTGTCTTATATATTCTCTACTGACATTCTTCTCTATTTCGAAAACGTTATTAGACGCTGGCACCGCCTCCTCTTCATCGTGTTTCACATGCCAATTGACTAGTAAATAATAACTACGCATGATCAAAAACAGATTTTCGCATAGATTCAGAAGGCATGCCGGCGCTTTATTGGGCTGAACCGATTGACACATTTCCTGAAATTTCATATCGACAGAAGTGTCAGAAATATAAGGTTTGACAGCTTCCACAGAAGTCACGTTGACCGCAGAGGAGTAATGCATGTGAAGCTGTTCCATAGCGGCTTGAGTTTTGCCCAATAAGTCGTAAGCTTTCCTTAACTTCCTAAACAGATTCTCATCGAATTTGTAACATATTGACGACAACACCGAGTCTAACTTCTCCTCGGTCATGTCCAGTGTGTCTTGGAGTCTCGTAGCGAGATCTGCTATACAGGTGTACTCTTTGTGATTACTCGCGGCTTTTCTACTCTTAAGGATCAGCTCTATCGCCTCATAATACTCTTTCCTATTCAACAATTCAGCGACATCCTTCTCAACGCTACGCAAACTCCTCAGCAACTCCAAGGATTTGAGTACTGATCTTATGATCTGTCTCTTTCTGACATTGGCTAGTATGACAAAGGTGGAAATGGTGAGGTGGTTAGAAGAATTCCGCAAGTGTTCTCTGGCTTGGCGACATGTTTCTAGCGTTCTGACTAGCTGTTCGCGAATGTTCTGAATTTCTGCGAATTCACGGTCGCAATTGTCCCTCTGTTGGGAGATTAAATGAAGAGCTTTTCCAGAGACTACCTGCAATAATAATGCAATAATATAAAGATAAAAATGTATCTATGATGTTCATAAGAAAGCACGTTAAGCTGTTGGTCCTGATTGGGAACAACTACATAATTATGAATATATAAATTATACGATTTATAAAAAATAGATAAGCCTTGATCCATTGAATTGTCAACATGACTTAGGTATAAGTCCCAAAAAAGTAGAACATCATGTTATTATAGGTCACCCATCCGACACACAAAACTGATATGAATTTATAGTATTGTGAACTCTTAACACTGGTAACCACTGGTTTGAAGCCAGATGCTATTATCCGATGTGTGACGTATTGCTTTTAAAATGGAACTTGCCTGGCGTTAAGAGTACATAACACGATTTCAGGGTCGGTGAAAGGAGCGGTCACCCTATTGCAAAACACGACACAGAGCCATTCCAAGAAACTTTGCAGCTGAAAACATAATTTACGAGAAAAAGATGTCGCCCAAAGGGCGCTAAATTAAAATCTCTCTGCCCTGACGAAGGGCTTCGGCCAGTGCGTGATTGCTTAATATAAAAACGCCACAAAAGTATCAGGCCACCATAAGTTGCGCGGAGTCACCTACTCTGCAGCAGGGGCTTCAACTTGGTGAACATCTATCTGGCTTCCGATTTACTTTTGTTATTTGTGACCGCCAAAGGTTTTTTTATTTTCTTTAATGTTGTTAATACTACCTTATTCCATACTAAAAACGTCACAAAAATACCAGGGCACCATAAATTATTAAGAGTTTACCTGCTGCTAGCGCTACAACTTAGTGAGAATCTGGGGGCCTACCACCAATTGAGATTTCTGTGGCTATAGCTTATGATTTCATTTTGTTATTTCTGACCGCCAAAGGTTTTGAAATACCTCACTTTCACTTTCTTTAATATCGTCAATAGTCTTTATATCGTCATGGCAATCCCGATAGGCGGTAAGCCCCCTGTTGCTAGCTTATTCCATACTAAAAAACGTCACAAAAGTACCAGAGCACCATAAATTATTAAGAGTTTACCTTCTGCTGGCGCTTCAAATTGGTGAAGATCTGGGGGCCATTCGCCTAACGGAAATGCTTTGGAAAACGGTAACGCTTACGATTTCATTTTGTTATTTCTAGCCGCCTGAGGTTTTCAAATGCCTCGCGCTCTTTTTTCTTTTCTTTTGCATTGTTAATAACAATATTAAAAAAAAGCGTAAGCGTGAGGTATATGAAAACCGGCGGTCAGAAATAACAAAATAAAATCGAAGCATTAGCGTTTTCCAAAGCATTTCCGTTTGGCAAATGGCCCCCTGGGGCCTACCACCTATTGAGATTGCTATTGCTATAGCTTATGATTTGATTTTGTAATTTCTGACCGCCGAAGGTTTTGAAATACCACGCGCTCGTTTTCGTTAATATTGTCAATAATAAACTATGGCAATCCCGATAGACATGTTGCTAGCTTATTCCATACTAAAAACGTCACAAAAGTACCAGGGCACCATAAATTATTAAGAGTTTACCTGCTGCTGGCGCTTCAACTTGGTGAACATCTAGGGGCCTACCACCTTTTGAGATTTCTGTGTCTTATGCTATGCTTATTATGATTTCATTTTGTCATTTCTGACCGCCGAAGGTTTTGAAATACCTCACGCTCGTTTTCTTTAATATTGTCAATACCATGGCAATCCCGATAGATATGTTGCTAGCTTATTTCATACTAAAAATCGTCACTAAAGTACCAGGGCACCATAAATTGTAAGGAGTTTACCTGCTGCTGACGCTTCAACTTGGTGAAGATCTGGGGGCCTACTACCAATTGAGATTTCTGTGGCTATAGCTTATGATTTATTTATTTTTATTTCTGACCGCCGAAGGTTTCGAAATACCTCACGCTCATTTTCTTTAATATTGTCAATACCATGGCAATCCCGATAGATATGTTGCTAGCTTATTCCACACTAAAAAACGTCACAATAGTACCAGGGCACCATAAATTGTTAGGAGTTTACCTGCTGCTGGCGCTTCAACTTGGTGAAGGTCCAGATTGGTGAGGCCTACCACCAATTGAGATTTCTGTGGCTATAGCTTATGATTTCATTTTGTTATTTCTGCCCACCGAAGGTTTTGAAATACCTCACGCTCATTTTCTTTAACATTGTTAATACCATGGGTACTATAATATGGCATTGCTAGCTTAATCCATACTAAAAAACGTCACAATAGTACCAGGGCTCCATAAATTATTAGGAGTTTACCTGCTGTTGGCGCTTCAACTTGGTGAACATCTGCTCGATGGCCTCGCATGTGGGGGGGCTGGGGGCGTTCTCCAGCACATGCCTGCCTGCGTCGAACTCGGACGGGGGAGAGAAGTACACATGCTCGATCTCTCGAAGTACCTGCGGAAGTGTTTGTGTGCATCAGTAAGTGCCTATTCAGATGACGTGATTCACACGAGTTTCAATGTTCACTGATCCGTGTTCTGAATAAAAAAATATTTCTAATGGTGCATATACACTTGATCGTAAGCGTAAGAAAACGATTGCCCTTGGAATTCGGACAAACGACTATGTATGTGTAAATGAAAGGAGTCGAGTACGCCCATATTCGAACAGTTGTAAAAACAATGTAAATATTGCATTGGGTGCCCGAATTCGAGTAATGTCTTTTGTGCACCCGAATACGGACTAACGACCAAATGTAAATGCGCTTTAACACACACCAATTAGCGTACATACTGATAAGTAGTATATTTGTATAGAACTACAAAAACATTTTCATGTAAAATTTTGCCAAGACAGGACAAGACCATATGACTCGCATTGTCAAAAAGTTATCAAATCTCACGTAGAGCCAAGATTCTAACTCTTCAATGCCTTAGATCACAAACTCTACTTAAAGCCTCGATGACACTGAGCAAGTTTACAAGCAAGCCAGCGAGTTTGCTAGCAGCTTGTAAACTCGCCCCATGCAATCGGCTTTTTACCATCTGCTACTCGATGAAACGGTGCCAGTTCACAAGCTATTAGGAAACTCGCTGGCTTGTAGCTTGTAAACTCGTCTCGTGTCATCGAGGCTTTAGTCGAAATATGTGTCTTGGCCATTTCGCTACATTTACATGAGCGTAAGGTGAAAAATTATTCATTACTTTTCTGTTATAAAACAGTTCTTGTAGAAACGAAATGTCAAAGCCATTTTTGACAGTGCCAGTCATAATCGTCACATCTACGGCAAACTTACGAATCTGCTTTTTTAGTAAAAATCTATGATAAAAAACTGCACATAATGGGGTACTTAACACCAGGGAAAAGCTACACAATTTTATTATTGACGGTTCCAAAGGTCTATCTGCATTTTATGTTTATGCACCCAAAGTAAACTTACCAAATTAATATACAATATTATGGCGTAGTAGGTTTTATGAAATTCAAATTACTAAAACGTTACTATGGAGGTGAAGAATTATGGTCTCGTCTTGGCTTTTATATAGGTATTAAAAAAAAGAATCCAATTGAAATATTAGAATATAGTTTTTTTTTGCATATTTATAGTTGGATGAGTATTATTATTTTATTTTTATTATAGTGATACAGAACCAGCAATACCAAAAAATCCAAAACTATTGTTGGACATCAATACTAGATACTATTTATTGCCGGGATAATGAATAGGATGTGCACTGGAGGTTGAATTCTTGTCAGTATGGTAGTTTTTCTTATGTTAAAAGGGTGACAAACAACCTTATGACCTGATGGTAACCAGCCACCATTGCCTATAAACTCTTGCGATAAAAAAAATATCAATTTGTACTCACTTCTAAATCGGCAGCAGAATGAACGGCACTGAGCGATCGAGAGTTAACCCCGGGAGGGCCATGACGGTTCTCCATTCCCTCTTCGGACAACATTATCTTTGCAAAAAGTAAAAAAAGTCATTATAACATTTCGGTGTCAATGGAAAGCAACTTGAGTGTGTCTTCTCAGCACTTGTCCATTTATGGTACTGAGGCAGTGGTAGTGATAAAGTAATATGGGGAAAGCGCTTATTATAAGCATATTTGCGAAAAAATAAATGAATTTTATATTTTTTTCTAAATAGTATAAGCTGAAAAATGCAATCCTGCAATAATCATTCCCTTCACAAAGATTTTAAACAACATCAATAACATTAGGATTATCATGAAAACTTTTTAGTAAAAATTTAAACCAAATTTATAAAAACAAAATTTGGAGTTTGTGGTGTCAATACTGGCGTGATTCTCTAAACTTAAAACTAAATACAACTTCAGTCTCTCCTTTTCATTCTGTATAAAGAATGACAGAGTTGCAATGTTGTCTAATTTAAGTTTAGCTTTAGAGAATCATGCCAGAATCGACATCTATGCCAACCCAAGTACAGTCCGTTCATCATAACTTGTCCCAGACTGTACCTAGTAAATGGTAACTCAAACTTATTTGTCTATCATCTAACTCCAATAATTTTAATTTTCCCTAAATGAACTTTACATGCAACTAAAGGATCAGTATTATTTAGTAGTTTTGGATGGTTTTATCAAGATTTTGTTTTTATGAAGTGGGTTTTTATTATTACCTGATTTATTAGCAGTTTTTATAACTCAGAGCAACATCAGCTGATAAAGTATAAAACTGGATCAGACAAACAATATGAAACCACACCAAATCATTGCACAAACAATAATAAAAAAGCATTGATAAAGACAAATTGTAAACCTCTTCAGCCTTTTTGAAAGCAGTTAATAACGTTTAGTTCCTCTCAGGTTCCTATGAGGTATACAAATTAATTGAATATGAGGATCATAAATTTAACATTTCCTTTCATTAACATTTTCAAAAATAAATCTTTTTTATTCTATAATAGATGGTATTCCAATAACTAGTAAATTAATAATATTAAGTACAAAACACCAGATTTAAAAACTTATCCAAAATTATATAGATACTAAAGTAAACTAAGTAACTTTTTATTATTCTAAAGTATCCGAGCAAAAATTTGCTACTATAATATAAAGACTAGCAAAACTTTGCTTGGATGGTTAATTGCTTTTCCTCACAGTTACTAAAAGCAGAAGCAGCAGTATTGAGAAGGAATAGAAAAGCCTTTTTGAAGTGTTTACACGATTAATTTATAATACTTTTCTATCCCATGAAAAAGTGACAAATATTTACCTAGTACATTATGACAACGGGAAGAGCAAGAGCTTTCATAATAATTTGGTATGAAGCCTTCAGGCTACACTTACTTTTCGATACAAAATTTTACATTATTTCGACAGTTTTCTTAGCAAATCAAGAAAATGTAAAAAAATACATCAAACTAGGGACTACGGCACCATCATAAATCAAACGTCATAGTGACAGTGACGGGACAGCCAGCCCGGAGGTCTAAATTAGCGAGTTGCATGATTCACATTGAAAACATAATTAGATATTTTTTTTAGATTTTATAATGAATGACAAGTTATTTATTGATATATCAAATGAAGCTATTATGGAATAAAATGAAAAATTTCATAGATATCTATGATAATGTGTAAAATTAACACAAAAATGAAATTTTAATATTATGTAATCTTAAAACTAAATTTAACATCAATCATTCCTTTTCATTCTGTTTGGAGAATAACAAGGATACTGTTGTTAAATTCAAGTTTAGGTTTAGTCAATCATGACAGAATTGACACCATTATCAGAGGGTCCATTCATTTATTATGTAAGACTATTTAGGGTGGGAGGGGAGTCAACCATGTCTTATTTTTACTTACAAGGGGATGGGAGGGAGTCTCTGTAATTATTACGTTACTACTGAGGTTCACTCGGATGCGTATAGGTAGTCGGTTTCCATTTCCATGGCAACGGAAGCGCACTACCCACACTGCACCTTTTGAAAAAAATGGTAACTTTGAAAAATATATGTTACGCTCAAAGATCGAAAACGCTCAGTGAGCGGAAAAATAGCTCACAACACGTTGTGGTCACAGTAAAACATCCACATCGCGAAATTCGTGTTATGGCTCTAATGAAAACGCGCACGACGCGTTGTGGCAATCACAGAAAGACCAAATAGCGAAATTCGTGTCGTGGCTGACATGCTATTCGATCTCAACGCGTTGTGGCAATGAAGAAAAGCCATGACGCATTCTGAGCACTCATTGTTTTAACCATATCACGACGGACAGGTTGTAAGTTGATAGAGGACGTGCAGCACCCAGGAATGTTATGTGTGTTGTTATGATCATTAATTCATCAGGTCTCTACCAGTTAGGAAACAAGGAAGGTACATTCGATAGACTTTATGCACGTAATGAGTTAACACTTTCTGAAACCAACTTTATTAACTTTTGTGATGTGCCCTCAACTTCCTCATTAACACTTCGCTCAGCATCTATGTTATCATCTGGAAGTAAGAAAGGGTTTATAATGTGCCACTGCAAAAGATAATGTTTTGATAAAAAGTGCAAGTATCGCTCCAATAATATAAAATGCAACTCAAAATACCACAGTAATAATTCCTATAAAAATAAATAGCAATCAAATACTTATTTTTCACAATTATAGTAATTTCTAATATAAGTATTGATTTAAGTACATTGTTGTTGTTTATTGGTGATCAATAAACATTTATGTTTGTGAAAATATTTTTATTACTTGAAAGAATTTTAAATTGTCATAAAAAAATTAAAATCCCTAATTATTTTAATTGAATTAATTATAAGTAATTTACAATTGATTAATATTTTGTGTAGGGCCATAGGGTATAATAGGGCCGTGGTAGCATAATGGTCAGTGCATTCGCCCGGATAGCGAAGGATGCGAGTTCGAGTCCCGTCCGCTGCCTGGTCCGCGTGGATTTTTTTTCTAGTAAACTTTTCTTTAGATTTAAACATCTAGCAGTTAAATGCTTAAAAAATAAATAAAATCATAACTATAATTGCTATTTCTTCTTTCAAATGTTTAATACTTGAAAAAGTATTCATTTGACATTGTGGGTTACCTACAATGCGAAGAGATGGCGCTGCCTTGCAGCTTAAGGCTAGGAAAATTTCGACGCGGCTAATAGGGCCGTGGTAGCATAATGGTCAGTGCATTCGCCCGGATAGCGAAGGATGCGGGTTCGAGTCCCGTCCGCTGCCTGGTCCGCGTGGATTTTTTTCTAGTAAACTTTTCTTTAGATTTAAACATCTAGCAGTTAAATGCTTAAAAAATAAATAAAATCATAATATTTTGTGTTCAGTAATTTATTACTTAATACGTTGATTTTTTAAAATATAAAGTAATCTCAATAAATAACAAATATCGTATTATTTTTATTAATATAATTATATAACATATTTAATAATGACAAACACGCTATGCAGTGATTTTATAAAATATTTCCTAAAGACATCTACCAAAACGTTTCCAGCCTAGGCCTAGTAGGATCCATATCGGAAAGTAGTGTGCGTCGTAATTAAATAATATTCCATACGCGTCATGGCTTTTCTTCATTGCCACAACGCATTGAGATCGAATAGCATGTCAGCCACGACACGAATTTCGCTATTTAGTATTTCTGTGATTGCCACAACGCGTCGTGCGCGTTTTCATTAGAGCTATAACACGAATTTCGCGATGTGGATGTTTTACTGTGACCACAACGCGTTGTGAGCTATTTTTCCGCTCACTGAGCGTTTTCGATCTTTGAGCGTAACATATATAAAAATAAATAAATAAAAATAAAAAAGTAACATATACATTAAAACAAACCAAACGTGTATTCATTTATTCCTTTAGATTCTTTCGTAATAAAATATTTAACGGGGGGGAGGGGGTCTGCCTATTCTTATTTTTTCTTATAATACGGGTAGGGTAATAGACCAGGGTCGATAATTTTAAAAATGGTGAAAAGTGAAAAAAAAATATAGTAGGATGAAATCCATTAGAAAAGGTAGAGAATATAACAAAAATGAAAGGAAAAATAAATTACGGGCGATCTGAGGTCGGGAAGGGGGAGGGGGTGAGTTTTTAAGGGTAAAAAATGGTTAATCTCGATTTCCGGTAAAACTGCAAGTCCTATGAAAAAAAGTTAAATCGCAAAGTTGTAGGTAATAAAAAGATCTACAACTTTTGTATCGACACTTTTTTCACATAACCTCAAAATTTATGTGAAAAATGCGAATAACCGAGTTTTTGGTTTTTGATTTTTATTTTTTGCAATATAATTTATTTTTTCACGAAATTTGGTGAAAACTTACCTTTGTATGTCCCAAACATACAGTAATTTTTTTGATTTAAAATATTCATTTTTTCACCTTATTTTGACTTAATATCCAAAAAGCACCCTAATTTTCAATCGAAAAGTCAAAATATCTGCTTTTTTAATAAAGTTGGGGTGTTTTTGTTTGTTGAAATCTCTACTTTCTGATGGTATAAAAAAAATATACACTACTATGATAAATGTTCTCAGAAAATGCAAATTAATAATGAAAAAAAACTCGAATCCGAAAATCCTATTTTTAATACCTACTTACAACAACTATTTTTGCATGTTTTATGGATTTGTAATTTTTCTGTTTATCTATATAACATGAAATCTTACGTTTTTCGAGTAATTAAAGTGTAAATTTAATAAATAGTTCAAAATTATACATAATGATTCAAATCAATTTTTCGGATTGGAGTTTTTTCATTATTAATTTGCAGTTTCTGAAAACATTTACCATAGTAGTGTATATTTTTTTTATACCATCAGAAAGTAGAGATTTCAACAAACAAAAAACACCCCAACTTTTTTAAAAAAGCAGATATTTTGACTTGAGAATTTTCGATTGAAAATTAGGGTGCTTTTTGGATATTAAGTCAAAATAAGGTGAAAAAATGAATATTTTAAATCAAAAAAAGAAATACTGTATGTTTGGGACATACAAAGGTAAGTTTTCACCAAATTTCGTGAAAAAATATTTTTTTTTGCAAAAAAATAAAAATCAAAAACCAATAACTCGATTATTCGCATTTTTCACATAAATTTTGAGGTTATGTGAAACAAGTGTCGATACAAAAGTTGTAGATCTTTTTATTACCTACAACTTTGCGATTTATTTTTTTTCATAGGACTTGCAGTTTTACCGGAAATCGAGATTAACCATTTTTTACCCTTAAAAACTCACCCCCTCCCCCTTCCCGACCTCAGATCGCCCGTAATTTATTTTTCCTTTCATTTTTGTTATATTCTCTACCTTTTCTAATGGGTTTCATCCTACTATAATTTTTTTTGGTCTCAAAAATTATCGACCCTGGTCTATAAGGTTAGGTTCTTCATCTGTTTCATTTAGTTTATATGCTTCATCCAATGTCGCAATTTTAGTCCCCTCCCGGCATATTTTTTTTAAACTCTCCCATCCAGAAGGCATGGTTCCATTTCTTTTTTATTTAAACAACCTAAGATCAAAAAATAACTTATGATAAAAATAATCAATTAAACGTCACAACGAAAGAACGTTCAAAATATTTTATAAAGGTTAGCTGTATTTCATACACTTCGAAGTCTTGGTTTTGCTAAAAATTTAGAACAGAATCGTCACAAAAACATAAATGCTTAAACCAACTAAGGCCTGCAGTGTATATTAGCTTATGAATATTGAAAATACTTCAGTAAATCATTTTCAATCTTCTGTTTAAATAATAATCATGCCTAGTTAAAGATGAATGGCTGTGGCTGTACGGTATCATTGCATCAGCGTCAGCAATAAAATTAAAAAGCTAGCAGTTGTCTTGACGTCATGCGAGCGATGAATATTTGTCGATTGTGATTTGGTTATTTTAGTGGTATTTTAAGTGGACGTTTATTGATGTATTTAGTGAAATAGTAAAAAATGGAGACTGAAAGGATGATAGAAGACACGATACCACCACAGGTATTCCCGTAAATTTTATCTGGAACAGGCCATAATGTCATGGCTGTGTCCGCCATTTTTGCTCGTTTATAGTACCGTAGCTTTTGTATTTCATGCTATTTTGAAGATTTCTTAGTGAAATTTTGTAGCGTCTGAACTACCTAATCTTACGAAAGGTTTGTGAAACACACTTAAGGTTATCACTAGTATAAAAATACGTTGTGATTTTGATCAGAATTGACGGTAAATGTTACTGTTGCAGCCTGCATTGCGGATATTTCAAATATTAGTTTTTCACGGAAACCTTCTTTATAAATTCACCATTTCCGGATTACGTAAAACGATATGTACTTTATTATAGTCAGGTATCGAAACAAGTTGCAAATATTGCTTTTGTAAACATGAGACAGCTTATTCATGGTTCCTTTCATATGCTGTAGAAAACAGTTGAAATAATCATATTTCCTTCTTTCTATCCTACCCCAGTAGCTAAAGATAACTTTTCGATGTCTGTAGATTACGTCTATGGTGTTTTAGTAACCATGCCTTGGTTTGATGGCACTTAATTTGTATGGCCCACTTTCCATATTATTTCGCAACTCATATGCTTCTTGAAGACAATACGCGCATTTGCTGACATAATAGCCATTCTTGTTTCGGTGGGTAACAAAAGTGTTACAACACAGTGAGTCTTTAATACTCCAGAACTCGTCTCTGAAATTATTGAATAATGTTCCAGCATATTTTTACATACATTCAATACATGATAATCAGTTAGCATTCTCAACAAAGCTGTTGCAAAAACTTGCTGGATTCCTACTGTAAGTTAATGTGAAGAATAGAAATGAGTTTGACATTATAGTAATATAAGTTATTTACGGGATTGTTACCATGTACCTTGTTTATAGCGAGAGAGAAAGAAACTCGCTATAAAGTACCTTGTTTATAACAATTTCTCTCTCTCTCGCTATAAAAAAGGTACATAGTAACAATCTTGTAAATAACTTATATTACTATAATGTTAGTGACCATGAGAGTTTGACATTGCTTTGTTTACCCCAAGTTACAAGGCCTTGGGAACTATACTTTTTAATTAATAATATCTAAAAGTTTATACTGCAACTGGTTTTTGTGTTGTTGGTGTTTAATTCATCATTACATTCGGAGCCAATGCAATGCCATTTATTATTACTCTTAAATGGGTTGAGACATTTAGCAGTTGAATGCATAGAAAAATTAAAATTATAAAACTAATTAAACTTGTTTTTAAAACTGGTCATCACAAAAGTTAAGTTCTTACTTGTTTTAGAATTGTCCAAATAGTTTGTATGCTTATTGAGTATTTTTATTAATTACTTTATGGATAAAACTATCTCGTAGTACATATGGCTGAGACCTTGGAGGGTCTTAACATGATGTTTGAATATCGTAGTAATTCCTAAAGAATGGATCTTGAGGTGAACTTGGATAAGACATACTATCATTTAATAAGTACACTGCTTTTGTAATGCACAAAGTGTGTTTTCAATCAGTATTTTTTACTAATGTGCATCTGCATGCAAAATTCAATAAATGTAAAAAATTTAGGTCTGCACTTACATAATTTAAACTTCAGAAACTTTAATTTATTAAATCTCGAAATGGCTAGCAGAGTGTAAAAACTACCATTATGTTGTTATCAAACCAATATCTGCTAAATGCAGTTTTTTGAGATTACAAAATTTCCATAATGATGGACTAGCATACTAACTGATTCTAATACAAAGACTGCTTTATGAATCTTTAGTGTTATAGTGGTGAACAGAGATGCTTAAAAGAATATGCTATTTGCATCAGCCAGAATATTGTCAAGTTTTGTTTTTGTTACTGTGGCTTTCTCCGTTTCACACAGAAATTTCGTCAATGTCCAATAGTGAGAGAGACACAAGAAAAACTGCTCGGTAGAAACAGATTATGGTGGTATAAAGTCTATAAATAAATAACCGAAAATCCAATCTTCATTGAGCTGTTCACTTACTGAAAGCACATTGTCAAATATTAACTGCTATATTAAAGTTTTATATTTGATGTTGTTTTGACAAATTGACAATGATAATTAGTTATAATTTAAAGCTACAATTGCCAAAAAGAACAGGTGTATTTATTCACAAAAACATTATATAAGTCACTAGTTTTCTAGTGTTAAGTCATCATTGGTGTCATTACTGGCATGATTCTCTCAATTTAAAACTAAATTTAACATCAGTCTCTCAATTTTATTCTGTATAAAGAAGTAAGGATACACTATTGACAAATAATGCCAGAATTGACACCATTAAGTATTTAACAATTAATTGAATGTTGCTAGTAGTAATTAACAATGACTCAATGACTTCATGCCCTTTTTTCTATCCTCATTAGAACAGGAAGCAAAGAACAACCCTTGCTATGTTTTTTGCAGGTTGTTAGTACAAGGCTATCTCTATGTTAATGATAATTTTTAACATGTTTTATTGTATTTAAATTGGTTCAACATGGTTTCTTCTGTTTATAAACCATAGAGAGGTTCATAGCATTTGCATGGTCAGTTTATATGATAATAATAATTTATTGTCACATAAATTGATTACATACTTGTATATAATGTAGTCCCTGCCCCCTATAATAGGTTATAGACCTGTGTAACATAGGTTAAGTGCCCACTTTCGAATACATAGATCATAATTATTTATTTATTTAATAAAACAGTTTTACTATCACACATACATTGATGAATTTGATAATTATTGTTGCAATGTGTGTTAGGTAAATCTGGTAAAGCTGTGCCACAACATCCTACACTGATCATCAATGTTGCATGTAACAACAAGTTGCTTTCTCATCCACTTTAGCCTGTTTTACATTACCCAATTTTAAAGGGTCCCTTACCCTGACTAAGGGTGGTTTAATGTAAGTCAGGGAGTAAGAGACCTGATATAGGGCTATGAGCATGTTGTAAAGTTGCTATCACCCTAGCTTGAGGCCCAGCCCACCATTTGAATTGGGCCCTTAAAATTGGGCAGTGTGAAGCCTGTTTAAGTCATTTGTATTTTCTTATTGTTTACTGTAACCACTAGGCACAGGCACCCACCTGTGAATTACTCTGTGTGGAACTTTGAAAAGCCTTTATTATAGTACTACTATCATAATAGTATATGTGTGCCAAATTTTAGCACAATCCGTTTGGTGGTTTGAGCTAATAATCAGTCATTCATGGTTGCCTTTTATATATACAGATTTGACTGCTAGCAGACATTTGAACATACTTTCTTGTGGTTAGTAAATAAATTGCCACTATCATTCCTTTCTTTACAGTAATTATGTTAAAATACTGCTATCTTGCAGTAACATATTAGTGCAGTCTTAATTAATTTATTTATTGTATATAATAGGTTTAAGTATAAAACTCATTCCAGCATGGTTTTCTAAAAGCAAAATTAAAATTTGCAATATTTTTAACTTAGAAAATGATAAGGAAAGACTGCGGTTTGATTGAGTTTCAAGTTTAGACAATGGGGCGTGTTGTTAACTTAATATTATTTTAAATGTCTCTTTATATAAATAGTGAGATATCTTAAGAGGAGCTCGATGATGTAAGTGGTTAGCGCGTTGGGCTGCGATCGTTGAAGTTAAGCAACTTTTGCAGTGGTCGGTGATTGGATGGGTGTTTGAATTTACTATCTCGAGCTCCTCCGTGCTTCGGAAGGCACTTTAAGCCGTTGGTCCGGCTGCATCTGCAGTCGTTAGTACCCGCCAATCCGCACTAGGCCCGCGTGGTGAGTCATGGCCCAAACTCCCTATTCCATCCATAGGGAAGGCCTGTACCCCATCAGTGGGGATATTAATAGGCTGATAATGATGATGATGAAATAAATAGTAGATGCGTCGGTTCGTCAGACTTATTTTATTTACGATTTCTTAAAACTGTGCCACTGGCATGAGGATAACGGAACAGCAAGTCATCTTATGAGTCACCTGACCAACAGCTAATTCATGACAAAAAATAGTGTTTCTTGTCATAATGTAACTGCCTGAAAGTAATCTTTCTTATGACTCTGCCATCCTCAATATCTATACATATAATAAAATGGCAGGAAATTCAAAACTGTACATTGAAATTTTTTTTAAAAGAATACTTGGGGTCTATAATCGATAACGAAGCCAAAAATATAGTTTTTAAAATTTTTGTCTGATTGTCTGTGTGTCTGTATGTATGTCCGGGATAAACTCAATAAGTACTGCATGGATTTACTTAAAATTTGGCACGAATTTTAGTAAGAAGTCGGGTCAACATATAGGCTACATATTATCACGCTATCACCTACTGGGAACGAGCAGTGAACCTTTGTTTCTAACTAACTCCACGCGTACGAAGTCGCGGGCGGCCGCTAGTAGGTAATAATAGTTTTAACAGACATAACATTTAATTGATTCTGCACATCCTTTCCGGTTGACTGGTAGAGAATGCCATGCTGGCATTAAGTCCACCATATGCAATGTAAAGGCATTAGAGATTAAATAAATAACTAAGTGGATATACAGATTATGTCTATGCTTACAATATTTGTTTCTTAGGTTTTCACGCACATCACTCATTAAATAAAACTAGTTTTTAACGGGTTAATGCACGAAACTTTATTTATTTATTGATGTTTCGCAGCCTTTTCAGGTCTGCTTTGTCATAATAATGATTTAAAAAAGCAGCCCTTGCTGAGTTTCTTGCCGGTTCTTCTCAGTACAAGGTCTCCCGCCGTAGTTTTGCGAACCGATGGCGTAGCTTTTCGACATTCACAAGTGCTTGTAACAGCCTAGACTGAATAAACGATATTGATTTTTTTTTTTAATTTTTAATATAATTGTAATTTTTACATGATTGAAAAAAAAGGAAATCTACCCGAATACGGGCGTGTTTGACTCCGTTCATTTACACTTCGTCGTTTACCCGAATTCCATTGGCGTTCGTATACGGTCCCTCCGATTCCGTCGGTCTAGGCACGTCTTAG